TTCAAAACAGTCGGTCTTTTAGCTGTACGCCTTGATTTGGCCAAACTACGATTGAAAAACCGGAAAGAAAAGTCGCATTTTCGACTAAAATCTGAGTATCGTTTTTTTGACCAAAATCGGAACCCTATATTTTCGCCCTAAAAATGCCGTTTTTTGGCTCCCAAATGAAAAATAAAAGTCAGAACGAGGAATGTCATATCTCGTCGTGCTAGTTGCTTAATTTCCAATCCATTGGCATTCTAACCTAAAAAATTTTCATTTTTCGCAAAAAAAGTGATGTAACCCCTTACAAAAAATGCGAAAACTGGTCAAAAAATAAATTTTCCTTTAAATGATGGGGATCGTTAGCATTTCTAGCAAGCTGTTCAAAACAGTCGGTCTTTTAGCTGTACGCCTTTATTTGGCCAAACTACGATTGAAAAACCGGAAAGAAAAGTCGCATTTTCGACTAAAATCCGAATCTCGTATTTTTGACCAAAATCTGAAGCCTATTTTTTCGCCATAAAAATGCCGTTTTTTGGCTCCCAAATGAAAAATAAAAGTCAGAACGAGGAATGTCATATCTCGTCGTGCTCGTTGCTTAATTTCCAATCCATTGGCATTCTAACCTAAGAAATTTTCATTTTTGCCATTTTTCGCAAAAAAAGTGATGTAACCCCTTACAAAAAATGCGAAAACTGGTCAAAAAATAAATTTTCCTTTAAATGATGGGGATCGTTAGCATTTCTAGCAAGCTGTTCAAAACAGTCGGTCTTTTAGCTGTACGCCTTTATTTGGCCAAACTACGATTGAAAAACCGGAAAGAAAAGTCGCATTTTCGACTAAAATCCGAATCTCGTATTTTTGACCAAAATCTGAAGCCTATTTTTTCGCCATAAAAATGCCGTTTTTTGGCTCCCAAATGAAAAATAAAAGTCAGAACGAGGAATGTCATATCTCGTCGTGCTCGTTGCTTAATTTCCAATCCATTGGCATTCTAACCTAAAAAATTTTCATTTTTTCCATTTTTCGCAAAAAAAGTGATGTAACCCCTTACAAAAAATGCGAAAACTGGTCAAAAAATAAATTTTCCTTTAAATGATGGGGATCGTTAGCATTTCTAGCAAGCTGTTCAAAACAGTCGGTCTTTTAGCTGTACGCCTTGATTTGGCCAAACTACGATTGAAAAACCGGAAAGAAAAGTCGCATTTTCGACTAAAATCTGAGTATCGTATTTTTGACCAAAATCTGAACCCTATTTTTTCGCCCTAAAAATGCCGTTTTTTGGCTCCAAAATGAAAAATAAAAGTCAGAACGAGGAATGTCATACCTCGTCGTGCTCGTTGCTTAATTTCCAATCCATTGGCATTCTACCCTAAAAAATTTTCATTTTTTCCATTTTTCGCAAAAAAAGTGATGTAACCCCTTACAAAAAATGCGAAAACTGGTCAAAAAATAAATTATCCTTTAAATGATGGGGATCGTTAGCATTTCTAGCAAGCTGTTCAAAACAGTCGGTCTTTTAGCTGTACGCCTTGATTTGGCCAAACTACGATTGAAAAACCGGAAAGAAAAGTCGCATTTTCGACTAAAATCTGAGTATCGTTTTTTTGACCAAAATCGGAACCGTATTTTTTCGCCCTAAAAATGCCGTTTTTTGGCTCCCAAATGAAAAATAAAAGTCAGAACGAGGAATGTCATATCTCGTCGTGCTAGTTGCTTAATTTCCAATCCATTGGCATTCTAACCTAAAAAATTTTCATTTTTTCCATTTTTCGCAAAAAAAGTGATGTAACCCCTTACAAAAAATGCGAAAACTGGTCAAAAAATAAATTTTCCTTTAAATGATGGGGATCGTTAGCATTTCTAGCAAGCTGTTCAAAACAGTCGGTCTTTTAGCTGTACGCCTTGATTTGGCCAAACTACGATTGAAAAACCGGAAAGAAAAGTCGCATTTTCGACTAAAATCTGAGTATCGTTTTTTTGACCAAAATCGGAACCCTATTTTTTCGCCATAAAAATGCCGTTTTTTGGCTCCCAAATGAAAAATAAAAGTCAGAATGAGGAATGTCATATCTCGTCGTGCTAGTTGCTTAATTTCCAATCCATTGGCATTCTAACCTAAAAAATTTTCATTTTTTCCATTTTTCGCAAAAAAAGTGATGTAACCCCTTACAAAAAATGCGAAAACTGGTCAAAAAATAAATTTTCCTTTAAATGATGGGGATCGTTAGCATTTCTAGCAAGCTGTTCAAAACAGTCGGTCTTTTAGCTGTACGCCTTGATTTGGCCAAACTACGATTGAAAAACCGGAAAGAAAAGTCGCATTTTCGACTAAAATCTGAATATCGTATTTTTGACCAAAATCGGAACCCTATTTTTTCGCCCTAAAAATGCCGTTTTTTGGCTCCCAAATGAAAAATAAAAGTCAGAACGAGGAATGTCATACCTCGTCGTGCTCGTTGCTTAATTTCCAATCCATTGGCATTCTAACCTAAAAAATTTTCATTTTTTCCATTTTTCGCAAAAAAAGTGATATAACCCCTTACAAAAAATGCGAAAACTGGTCAAAAAATAAATTTTCCTTTAAATGATGGGGATCGTTAGCATTTCTAGCAAGCTGTTCAAAACAGTCGGTCTTTTAGCTGTACGCCTTGATTTGGCCAAACTACGATTGAAAAACCGGAAAGAAAAGTCGCATTTTCGACTAAAATCTGAGTATCGTTTTTTTGACCAAAATCGGAACCCTATATTTTCGCCCTAAAAATGCCGTTTTTTGGCTCCCAAATGAAAAATAAAAGTCAGAACGAGGAATGTCATATCTCGTCGTGCTAGTTGCTTAATTTCCAATCCATTGGCATTCTAACCTAAAAAATTTTCATTTTTCGCAAAAAAAGTGATGTAACCCCTTACAAAAAATGCGAAAACTGGTCAAAAAATAAATTTTCCTTTAAATGATGGGGATCGTTAGCATTTCTAGCAAGCTGTTCAAAACAGTCGGTCTTTTAGCTGTACGCCTTGATTTGGCCAAACTACGATTGAAAAACCGGAAAGAAAAGTCGCATTTTCGACTAAAATCTGAGTATCGTATTTTTGACCAAAATCTGAACCCTATTTTTTCGCCCTAAAAATGCCGTTTTTTGGCTCCCAAATGAAAAATAAAAGTCAGAACGAGGAATGTCATACCTCGTCGTGCTCGTTGCTTAATTTCCAATCCATTGGCATTCTAACCTAAAAAATTTTCATTTTTGCCATTTTTCGCAAAAAACAAAAAATGCGAAAACTGGTCAAAAAATAAATTTTCCTTTAAATGATGGGGATCGTTAGCATTTCTAGCAAGCTGTTCAAAACAGTCGGTCTTTTAGCTGTACGCCTTGATTTGGACAAACTACGATTGAAAAACCGGAAAGAAAAGTCGCATTTTCGACTAAAATCCGAATCTCGTATTTTTGACCAAAATCTGAAGCCTATTTTTTCGCCATAAAAATGCCGTTTTTTGGCTCCCAAATGAAAAATAAAAGTCAGAACGAGGAATGTCATATCTCGTCGTGCTAGTTGCTTAATTTCCAATCCATTGGCATTCTAACCTAAAAAATTTTCATTTTTTCCATTTTTCTCAAAAAAAGTGACAAAAAATGCGAAAACTGGTCAAAAAATAAATTTTCCTTTAAATGATGGGGATCGTTAGCATTTCTAGCAAGCTGTTCAAAACAGTCGGTCTTTTAGCTGTACGCCTTGATTTGGCCAAACTACGATTGAAAAACCGGAAAGAAAAGTCGCATTTTCGACTAAAATCTGAGTATCGTTTTTTTGACCAAAATCGGAACCCTATATTTTCGCCCTAAAAATGCCGTTTTTTGGCTCCCAAATGAAAAATAAAAGTCAGAACGAGGAATGTCATATCTCGTCGTGCTAGTTGCTTAATTTCCAATCCATTGGCATTCTAACCTAAAAAATTTTCATTTTTCGCAAAAAAAGTGATGTAACCCCTTACAAAAAATGCGAAAACTGGTCAAAAAATAAATTTTCCTTTAAATGATGGGGATCGTTAGCATTTCTAGCAAGCTGTTCAAAACAGTCGGTCTTTTAGCTGTACGCCTTGATTTGGCCAAACTACGATTGAAAAACCGGAAAGAAAAGTCGCATTTTCGACTAAAATCTGAGTATCGTATTTTTGACCAAAATCGGAACCCTATTTTTTCGCCCTAAAAATGCCGTTTTTTGGCTCCAAAATGAAAAATAAAAGTCAGAACGAGGAATGTCATATCTCGTCGTGCTCGTTGCTTAATTTCCAATCCATTGGCATTCTAACCTAAAAAATTTTCATTTTTTCCATTTTTCGCAAAAAAAGTGATGTAACCCCTTACAAAAAATGCGAAAACTGGTCAAAAAATAAATTTTCCTTTAAATGATGGGGATCGTTAGCATTTCTAGCAAGCTGTTCAAAACAGTCGGCCTTGATTTGGCCAAACTACGATTGAAAAACCGGAAAGAAAAGTCGCATTTTCGACTAAAATCTGAGTATCGTTTTTTTGACCAAAATCGGAACCCTATTTTTTCGCCCTAAAAATGCCGTTTTTTGGCTCCCAAATGAAAAATAAAAGTCAGAACGAGGAATGTCATATCTCGTCGTGCTAGTTGCTTAATTTCCAATCCATTGGCATTCTAACCTAAAAAATGTTCATTTTTTCCATTTTTCGCAAAAAAAGTGATGTAACCCCTTACAAAAAATGCGAAAACTGGTCAAAAAATAAATTTTCCTTTAAATGATGGGGATCGTTAGCATTTCTAGCAAGCTGTTCAAAACAGTCGGTCTTTTAGCTGTACGCCTTGATTTGGCCAAACTACGATTGAAAAACAGGAAAGAAAAGTCGCATTTTCGACTAAAATCTGAATATCGTATTTTTGACCAAAATCGGAACCCTATTTTTTCGCCATAAAAATGTCGTGTGCATACGTGGATTTTAGATATGAACCCTTTCCACTTCTTATCATATTTCCTAGAGTAATTCCGCGTAAAATTCATAACAATTGAGTGTTTTTTGATAAATATATAAATTTATAAACAGAATAAATAAGATGAAGGAGGGCCGTTTAGGGCGCTCTCTTCCGAGATAACGAGAGATTTGTTCTTGGTGTGTTGGAAATGGGATGGACGTCCATCTGATTACCAGTCTTCTTCGACATCCTTGGAGATCTCAAGGCGGAAGGAGGTCTTGAAGTCCTGCAGCTTGCGTCTGCAGTTTCTGCTCAGCGGGTTATTACGAAGATCGACCAGGGCCAAACAGTCACTGGCTATAGCCTCATCCGTATCGATTTCTGATGTGATTAGATATTTTATCATTGATAAGATGGAATACAAGGGGGTCTTAAGTCCAAAGACTTACCCAATATGGCATTGTGCTGGGCATCCAGACTGGCAAGACTCTGAAGCTTAAAGACTACTTGTGGTAGGACGATGAAGGAGTTGTTTGAGATATTCAGCTTGGTCAATGCGGTCAAGCTGGCGAATTCTTCTGGCAGCCTCGAGAGTTTGTTGTGTGAAAGATTAAGATCTGCAAGGGTTATATATATTGTATATATGGTTATGGCATATATCATTTCTTGAGAACCCACCTGTGATGGTGCTGAACTTTTGCGAAAACTTTGGTGAAACGCTTTTGAGCACGTTGCCACTGAGATTGCAGGTAACCAGCTCTGTGTTTCGCATTAAATGATAGACTGCATCTGGTATCTGCATTAGTTCACAGCTCGAAAGATCTGAAAGAGTGCGTATAACAATAATTATGAAACATAAACAACAAATTCAGCTATAAAACAGCTTTTGGCTATCGAAAAGCTTCAAACAGATGGCAGAACACTAGCTCTTTTATTCCATATATGTATATACACTTTTAGATATAAACATTGATTTTTCAGAACTCTCACCCAAATTAGCGTTTTCGTTGGCATTTTCACAACGCTCAATCACCTTCACCACCAAGTGCGCCATCACCAAGTTTCCATGCAATCAGTTGGTACTATAACCGATAGCTAACAACCTTATCAATGGACTTATACCATATATTTCCCCTTTGTTTCCTCGTTGGCTCACAACCCACTTGGTCTACACTGAGCACGTGAATGGAACGGCCTAAATATAAACACGGCATTTCCCCATCTGCGCACGCAACTTATTATGCGAAAAGAGCGACGATATGGGGGCTCTCTGTATTCCCTATATAATATACGTGAGTCACCAGCGATCGCGAGAGCTTTTTCGGATATTCGGAGAGTATAAGATTGTTTTTTCGCGGAAATTGCGTCTGTCCACACTATAATAGTATAATAACAAAATAATATTGGTGTTCTCTCGAAAACATTAATTTACAATACAAAGTTAAGAGTGTTCTCATATATTATGTGAATGTTTTCAAAACAAAAACACAAATGATCAAAACAATATGATGAAATTATTCCAGAAACGCCATTTCGATTTTATGATGCAGATTACTTCCTGGTTTTAAAATATTCAAAAAATATATTTAAAAATTTCAAGCCTTTCAATAAAATAAATATATATTTTTGTATTATAAAAACCCAGATTTACCAGTACCAGATTTATTTCATTTCATACCGCGCTGTTTTTAGAAAAAAGTACTAAAACTAGAAAAACTAATTTACAGCGTAATAGGTAAATGTGTTCTAATGTCATTTAAGAAATATTTGCTATTGTAGTTGTTAAATGTATTTAAAATATGTATTAAATTAGAATATTTTTTTTATTGTAAAAACAAAGATCATTACAATTTTTGTTTGGGAAATGGTTGTCTGACTAAAGCATTTCGTCATTGAAAATCATTAAATGTTGCCAATAATATATTTACTATTTCTGTTAATACTATTATTTAAAATGTAGTTCATCATGTGTACTTGATGACTGCTTATTTTTAAATCTAAGAGAGTTTAGACGTCATTTGCAGATATCTGCAGTTTAATAACATCAACAATTTTACAACTACCATGATTGCAAATCTGTGAGCAATACAACCTGCGTATCAAAGAATCGTAAAATGAAATCACTTGGGGGCCAATGTCTGGGTAATTATTACCACCCCCACCTATCTGGCCCATTGATAAGTACCTTTCTTTGTTGAGAACTTTCCGAATATACACATATAATACAATACAACGCACTTTCTGTGCCGATTTTTTGAACGGGGTGTGTTTTGCAGGCGGGAAGGCCCTCGATTATAAACAATTTTGTTGCTTTTGCATGGGGGAAGTCAGTGCGCAATAACTGAAATTGGCTAATGGCCAATTGTCCATACTACGACCTATAGATGGAACAAGGAGAACCCGAACTCGCAACCGTCTAGTTGCAACTGCGCCTCAAACAAAAAAAAAGTGAGTGGGTGGGTGGTTTGGCAGGGTAAAGGTCATCCTTTGCTTACCCAGCTTATGGTTCTCCTTGGCATCCTCACACCGCTGAACCACCCGGATGACACCCTGTCCGGCGATCGGTGGAAAGGTTCCTATACCACCGATCCTCGCTATATGGGGTGGTATACTCGGATCATCCGATATCCCAGATTCCTCTGTATCATCACTGGAGAGGTTGCTGCTACGGTTGCCATTATTCCGGTTGTCATTACCATCGTTGGGATCGTTGTTGCCATTATTACCATTACCACCATTATTGGTAGGGATGTTTGTTATATCGTTGCCAAAAGGCCGCATCTTTAATGTCTATCTTTATTTTCTATCTTTAACGATAGGTGTTAATTAAATTGCCTTTGTTTCACTGGGTAATCACTCGAAAAAAATGTAGTTATATATTTTCAATCACTGTTGTAAGTTTAAGATATTTTTCTTATTATTTGGATTTTTTAAACGCGAGCCACTTCGCAAGCCAACTGAACGTGACTCTCTTCCGCATTGAAATATTGAAAATGCTTTTTACTTTCGGTTTTTATAGCACGAAGAAGAAAGAAAAGCTGCGCATAACAAAACAAATGAAAAATAAAATGGGAAGAAAAACAAAAATAATAACACACAATTTGGGAGAATTGAAGGCACTCCGAACCAGGGATACTCTATGTTTTGGATCGTGAAGGATATTTACTCTCTTAAAAGAGAGATCATAAGGGAACTGACCATGCTAGTTCTACATGATCTAATCTTTCCTTTTACGAAATAAGAACCAGACAAATTATATCTCATATTCTGGAATAAGTAAGATTTTGAATAATTTTTAAGTATCTCTAAAGCTAAGAATAATACTGAAATCGTATACCCTAAAGAGACTTAAAACAATTGGAAACTTTTTTTTAGAACTTAGACTTAAACATCTTTTTTAAAAAATAGGTCCTTAGGTCCTTTAATTTCCTTAAAAAGATAAAAAAATAATACTCCCACTTATTTTTAAAATTTTGTTTTAAATTAAATAAAACAAACTGCTTTACTTAACCCACTTAACCCCTTCTAAAGAGTATAGCTGCATCGTAACAAACTGTCTTGTCATCATAAGAGCAATAGCCTCTGATATAAACAGTCCTTCTTTCTCTTGCCAATAAAATGAGCTTGTTCTAGCTGCGGAAAAGTGTAAAAGTTCAATGCAAAGAGAGAGGATCGCACATTGCACTACTTAACAAAAAAGAAAATACAAAGATTTTCAATCAATTTAAATGTTTACACTTAAACATTTTCCATACAAATATCTTTTTTCATATATTATTTCACCTTTTATAGAGATACCCATAATTATTTTAAATCTTTTATTTTGTTTAGCCCATTTTGATCACATTTTGCCTTTCCTTGAACTCATCCACATTTTGTTAACCAGTGATATCTGTGTAAAGCGGTCAACATACTTATAGAACCGACTTTTACGCATCAGCCGTTTGCTGTTTCTTTCCACTCAAAACACGTCATTTTGAACACCGCATTTCCATGTAATATATGTAAATATAATATAAGACGTAAAAATTATTACTTATTTAAGATAATGGTCAATTTCAAGGTCGCCAAGGCTATTCTACCCATTATCTTGTGTCCCCATGGAGAATAAAAGTAATTCCAAGATATCGTAGAGAGCTGTCAAAAGCTACAAGCTCCCAAGAAAGCACATTGCACTTTCTTTAAAGTTATGAAAAGCTTTTCTATCCGTACAAAAATTCGAAAGGTGTGTTTGGAATACCGGAGTACCCTATAGTACATCTTAAACTATTCCAATCTGTCAAGTATAATAAAAGTTTTTTTAAGGTTTTAAAGGTAAGTAGAATCTTTAGGATGTTATTTTTAATGTTATTGTAATGTGTTCTTGATAGAATTTGTAGGGGTTCGTTGTTTAATTGCAACATAAGCTAGGTAGAATTAAGAAGAGCCTCGAAACAAAGTGTCTTGTCATCTGAAGAACAATAGCCTGTGATATAAACATTCATTCCTTCTCTTGCCAATAAGCTTCTTCTGGCTACGGAAAAGTGTAAAAGTTCAATACAAAAGGAGAGAGTGGTGCAGAGCGTACAAAACGCTCGAAATAATACACCTTGAATCGTACTTATAGAACCGACTTTTACGCATCCGTCGTTCTCAGTTCCTTTGGTCCGGAAGTTCCTATAGTCGGCACGTCATTTCCACGTAAACATACTTTGTTTTTAAGTGATTAACCTTGCTCTTTTAAACTCACATGACACTTTGAAAAGCGAGAAATATATTATACTTCAATTAAATGTATCTATATTAACACTTACCTTAATCATTTTTAACCGGAAATTCATCTAGTCCACTCAAAAACTAACTAAAAATATTTAAATCAACGTCAAAAATGATCAATTTAATTTTCACACATGATGTTTTTGTATTCTATTATTTATATATATTATACACATAAATTTAGCTATAAAACAATAATTAAATATCGTCAAAAATGTGAAAGAACCTAAGGAAATTTTGGTTAAAAATTTTTATTCGCCAAAACATGTTTGAACTCTATAGATACCATTGATGTTTTGTATTGATTTTGGGTTAATCCCAATATTATGTATGTACAAATCGGTTTCAAAACTGACAAATAAGCGTATTTCGATTGAAACAAATGGCTAAAATTGAAATACTTCTAGGTAAGTATGCCACAACACGAATTAAAAATGCCCATAAGTTCACTAACACATTTCCAGTCTACTACTTAAGATTATGTACGAGTTCACCGAATACACAAGTATTTAGCCATTGACATTTCATAGACCCAAGACGTAGGGCCCGCTCCATCCCAAGTACTCTATTGCAGGACCACTCCCTGGGCATGCTGGAGCCCCGTGCACAGATACAGCATTATGATGCTGAGGGCCTGGACCCGCTCATCCGATCTGTCCGATTTCCAGGGCGACGACTCCGTGGCCTTCTCGGCATCATTCATTTGGGTGTAGCCCTCGGTTTCGGCATCCAGAGCCACCTTCAGTTTTGTAAGCTGCAGGGAAGGTATAGATATGGATATATGTAGTGATATAGATATTGATATAAATATGGATATAGATATGGATATAGATATGGATATAGATATGGATATAGATATGGATATAGATATGGATATGGATATGGATATGGATATAAATATAGATATTGATAAAGGTATTGATATAAATATTGATATAAATTTCAGTTTAGATATTAATAGATATTGACATAGATGTTGATACAGAAAAAGATATAGATATATATATGAATATAGATATTTTTAGATATTGATAATATCTGATATTGTTATAGATATGAATATAGATATCAAAATAGATATTGATATAAAAAAGATATGGATGTAGATATAGATATAGATATTGATATAGATATAGAAATAGGTAATGATATAGATATTAATATAAATATATACATATAAATTTTTATATAGTTATAGATATTGATATAGGTAATGATATAGCTATTGATAGTATAAGTGTTGATATAGATATTGGTCTAGATATAGATATATTGCCATAGATTTTGATATAGATATTGATAAAGATAGATATGAATACAGATATTGATATATTCGATAAAGATATTGTTTCAGTTATTGATATAGATATTGATAAAGACCCCTCTTTAACTTTCCACTTACCAACTCGTTTATTTTGGCCACTCGCTCGTCGGGCGGGAAGCCAACGTATAAATGTTTGCTGGTGCTCTTGGCCAGGTTCATCAAATCCTCGTTGCGGGTGTGCCGAATGATGGGCTCGGTGATGACGATCACCTGCTCGAAGCTGAGTTCTGGACAGTCCAATGGCAGGGCCTCCAGGTGCTGGGTGACGCTCTCGAAGGGATTCTGGTGAAGACCAGTGGCCGCATCTTCCACTATCGATGATTTTCTGTAAGATATTGCAAGTATGAGGATCTCAATAAAACAGAAAAGAACTTGGGCAACTAATTGGATTAAATATAAAAATTGTTTTCAAATTCATATTGTTCTTTTAAAGGGGTCTTTATGATCTTTCCTTACTTTTACATACTTGTCATTACAATAAATGGCGGATCATTTATATTTTATCGTTATAGACATGCAGAAAGTATTATAATTATTTCAGGATCAACATGAAGAGTTCTTATTATGTATGATTTATAAAAATCTGATGGATGAGTGTACGAATAAATATCATATGGACTACTATATGGAAGAGTAGGTTCTTCAAACTCACCGCGATGGCGTGTGCTGGGGACTGGGGGGCAGGCTCTTGGAGTTCATCTGCTGCCCACTGCCAGTCAGCGAGGACACAATGCCCGGAATGTCCAGGTTGCTCGCTTGCCGCTTGATGCCCTGGGCCAGCATCCCGGTGATACTGGACCTGTGCACATCCAGGCCAGCTGCCGTCGGGGTCTGGATCTGGGACTGATCCCCGCCAGATGCCGACGTCGCCGACGACGCCGCTCCCGCCGAAGTCTCGTCCAAAGGAGCCGAACCAGTGGTGGAGGATCCGTCAAGGATCTCCGGATTGTCGGCCTGCGTAATGGTGAACTCCGGCCGGCTGGCCATCGTCGCAGTGGAACCGGAACAGTCCACTGGACCACAGACGGTGGCCATCTGGCACTTGACTATGCACTTCTTGTGGCATGACATGGAGCACTCCTGGCACTGCATGGCGTCCTTCAACCAGATCTTCTTGCCGCAGAAGTCGCACTGGGTGGCCCGATTGAAATGGGTCCTCACAAAGTCATGTGCCCTGGGAACGCCAGTCGCCGCACTCGAGGAGTCGATGGATGTGGAGCTTTCCCCTGGGGTGGTGGTCAGCTTCAGGAACGCCGTCTCATGGGACTGATCCTCCGGAGCCACTCGCTCGGCTCTGCATTTTTAGGGAAATTAAGAAAAGAGATATGTTAAATTACCAGTACTAAGAACATTAGTGGTATATTAGTAGCTTACCTAGTCTGAGATTGGGACTTGGGGCTGGAGCTGCTTTTGAGGGAACCATTGCCCACCGTCAAATTGGGATTACCCATCCAGGAGAAACCAAACAAGATGTCGCCAAAGCAGAGATTTGGATTAAAGCCGGACTGATTGGACAGAGGATGCATCTTCCTATAAAATGAGATATAAATGAAAAAGATATACGAGTCACATGAAGGAGAACACCTACACAGCCTGTAGCGATGCCGGATTGAGACTAATCTGCTTGAGGCACTGATTAAGACTGGTTTCAGAGCACTCGACCAGGATCTGACCGATCTGGACGTTGTTGTACCCCAGGAGGACACTCTCGCCGGCTGATTTGCCGAAGACGCAGACGTTGAGGAAGCGACTGGAGTTGTCCAACTGGAAGCTGCACACGTCGTCCATGTGGATGAGTGGGCTGAAGGGACAGTCGATGGTGGAGTGCTGATAGAAGTAGTTGACCGGCTCCTCCGCCTCGTCCTTAATTTTCTCCTTATCCTTCTCCTTGTCCTTGTCCCGATCTTTATCCTTATCCTTGTCACGATCCTTGTCCTTGTCACCGGCATCTCGACTCATGGTCTTCTTGATGGCCTTGGCAATAAGATTGGACTTCTTGGGCGAGTTGGTGGGAGTGCCGCTCAAGTTCGGCTTCACGACCAGGTGCTTGGGTGGCACTGGTTCAGCCGGTGATGCAGCTTCGGATTCGGTTTCCGCCTTCGACTGACAAAGATTGGGAAGATCCCCGAGATCGTCGTATTTGTCAAAGTCCTCCAGTATGGCATCATTGCGAATGATGCCGGGAATGATGCGTTCGATTCGCAGACTAAAAACTGTGGCCTGCAGCGTCTTGACCACCTTGGCAATCTGCTGAATGGTGGTCACTGGTCTGCCCTCGATGGCCACCAAGACATCGCCGGCCTGCAGATTGGACTTGCAGGCTGGGGTATTCGGCAAGACGGACTCGATCCGGACCACCTGGCTGCCGCTCTGCTTGAAAACGATGCCGATCTGCTGGTTCTTCGCCTTGTGGATAAACACGTCCATCGAGATGAGCACGTTCCGGCTGTCCCGCTGATTGGCCTCGATGAAGGGCACCGGGGCCAGGGTGATGGTGCAGTAAGTCTCAATGGCTCCCGGATAGGCCATCAGGCGGGACAGTTCCGCCAGCTTGACCGTGAGCAGTCCATTCGGCTGGATGTCACAGTCGCCGGCATCGGCATCATCCGCGGTCCAGTGGAAGAAGGGCTTGTAGCGCAGCTTATAGTTGGGCAACGTGTGTTTCCGACGCACCGCCTTCCGGATCTGGTTCGAGATCAGATTGGTTATGTTCGACTGCATCTGACGGCCCTGGTACTTGGACTCGATGTCCAGGATCAGCTCCGGATCCCCCAGGAAGCTAATTGACCAGTGCGTGTAGGGCTTCCTCGTGAACTGCAGACGCGCCATGCCCGACAGCTGCTTGACTGCAAAGGAAGTTGGATTTTAAGTAATGCTTTGGTTTTAGCAAATTTTATAAATAAAATTGAGAACGGTGAAAAGCCTAGACCAAATTTTCTCAATTTAAAGAATTTGTGTTTTTAATTTTTATAAAAATAAACGTTCTTGAAATTAAGTCGAGAGTACTCTTGATTTTTTTTTCGAGACAAAAGTACTCTTAATTTTGTTTTTTGAGACAATTGATTTTGATTTTCAGGACGATTTTTCTGTTAAAAGTAGTCTTGATTTTGTGTTTTGAGAAAAATCTTCTTGTCGTCTTGATAATATTAAAAATTTGAGATCATTTTGTTCTGGTCTATTTTTGAGATCTGGGTTTATTTAACTCACTTACCCTTTAATGTTATAGATCCTTTCTTTCCAAGCACCATGTCCGCGTCTATGGAAGTTGTGAAGTTGCCCACGTAGTTTATGTCCAGCAAAAGATCAAGGTTCTCGATGCGCTGCTCGTCCTTGTCCAATTCCACATTGTGCACGGAAAGGGACCGGACGTCAGGGAACTGGTCACCCAACTCGAGCTCTTTAATCTGGAATCGATGCATATTAAAGGAAAGGAAATGGTTAGAATTAAATGTTTTAAGGATATCTAGGTAGGTATTTACAATACATGTTAAATATAAATATACTCTTAACACTTTTATTACTGTTTAAAACCCACCGTGAGCTTATCCAGTAGCTTTCCGGTTGTAGTCTTAGTAATCAGTTCGTCCAGTTCGATGGACAGCTTGCGGTAGAACCACTTTCGCACTCGGTTCGAGTTCTTGAACTCGTGGAAGAGGAACTGCATCACGAAGTTAAGCGAGACGAGGGCCGAGGCTCTCCGTAGACTCTCCTGGTGGTTCTCACATCCATTACCCGCACCTCCAGCTCCCCCAGCTCCTCCTGCCCCCCCGCCCATTCCCGAGTTGGACAGCCTTTTCAGGTTCCGTGCGGTTTGTTTGATGTTCTACAATTAAATACACAAAAGAGGGGCGTACATTAGTAATCAGGGGGTCTAGATGGTACATACACATTACAAATACTCACCAATGGCAGGGTGTACTTGGCGTTCATTTGCTTCTGCTCCTCGCTTTCATCCGGCAAATTGGAGAACTTGATGAAGATGAGATATTGTAGAAGGATCATCACCACCCCGCCGATCAGCAGGAAGATCAGGCAGAGGAGTAGTATGTTCGAAATGGGTATCTCCATGCTGGCGAAATCTCACTCACTCGAGGGAAATATCTGAATATCTGTTCCTTCGATTCGGTTAATGGATCCTAGAAGCCAAACACTTTCGAGCCACAATTCTGATGTCAGTCTCTTCAATTACGTTCGTGATGTGCTAGCATTCTATCCTCCAGTATCTTTATACTATTTAGTTTATGCCTCCGATTTCGATGCCCCATCCATTTGGGTGGTGCCTCTGCCGATTTCGCCAATATGAGGCTGGTTCCAGCTAGCTGTTAGCTGTAAACTGACAATTGTTACAACTGCGGTAGGGGCGACATAAAATCAATATGTATTCGCAGCAGTGGCTGCGCCTTTTTTGGTCATCGGCCCTCAATGCGCATGTTCCCTGATCAGCTGGCAACTGGCAACCTTCCTGGGGGTTGATTTAGAGCCCATCTGGAGACCAGCAATCAGCCGGACCTCTTCGCCCAGCTGTTCTATTTGTTCTGTTTGGAGGACGGAGAGTATGGAACCCACTTTTCAACAGCCCTCATAATGGAAGCTCTGACTGACGGGGGTTGTTCGTTTCTAGGGGGGTTTTAAAGCACTTAAATCGGTCATAAATCATCCATTCGTATCTGGTTTTATTCATCTACTATATAGTATTCGTAAAGCTATGGCATATCTAGATATTTCCTTACTTGTCTTTTCAATTTTAATAGGTCAAAAGATATTTTTTTCATAGCAACCGGAATTTGGATCTGTTAAAAACAAAAAAATTCCATAGAACAAACAAATTTAATACATTCCTGATTTTTCACATGAGTATAGTATAACCGTGGGCTTTACAAGTATTACCCCAAGTTTTTAATATAAAATTTTTTTTTTTTTTTTAAATATCATTTTCCAAATAAAACTCGAAATATGCAATTTTTTGTGGTATTTTTCTGACATTTATTTTCTTCATGTTTTTTATTATGGTATTCCTTTACTTTATGTAAAATAAGAAAGTATTAATAGTTTTATTAACAAATTTGTTGAAGGCAGGTATTTATGTTATTATATGTTTATGTATGTATATCTTGTATATAAATTACGAGTCATCTTTATAATTACATAATTATTAAATGTAGTTTAATTATCTCTAGCGTATCTTAGTAATTATTTTAACTGCTTTATTCACTTAGTATATTAAATTAAGATATTTATATATTAATCCTTTCTTTGTTTTTATATATTTATGTATATGTATTATCATTACATTTTAGCCGTAACAGTTACATTTTTCTAAATTTAAACTAATTTTTATTATTAATTTCCTTTCCTATTCGCATATTACTCCTCGCACATCCTATATTTCGGTTGCTTTGTAAAAAAAAGTCAGATCTACTTACAAATATGTATTTTATTTTTTTTTTTCCTTCATGTTACCGTTCACACCAGACAGTAAACAAATAACAAAATATACAATCGAATCGTAAAGTTGGGGATAAATGTGTAGTGTTTTTAAAAAAGTAAGCCACCTACGACATGAGACAGGGAACACAGGGAGCGGACCGTTCGGGGTCACCTTTTGGGGTCACCTTTTTGGGGATTGGCTCGGCAGCAGCCTTGTGTGCACTTCATCATGGTTGCGTTTTACCAGCTTTAGAATATAATGAACTTGCACCGAGCCTTCAAGCATCTATGTAGATCTGAATCTGAATCTGAATCAGGAGTATTAAAAAATATTCGGACAATGCTTTTTATGATAGAGAGGAATGCAAGGATCTGGAAGAACAATCGATAGCAGCACTGTCATATTAATATAACTTTTTTTTTTGGATTTTTTTGAAATTTAGTTTGGTAAATGGCGGGACGTGGTTCCCGAATTGTTCTTCCCCGACAAAATGATGTTGATGCTGATCCCTGCACTTGGCACCTAACCAACTAACCATATAAGTATGTAGGAATGTACAAGTAGGAGTAAAGTGGGTCAGAGAGCCTAAGTTGAAGGACGAAGCGAAGGTCGTGTGCATTAAAAGCGAATCGAATGGAAATGGTCAAGTATGCCAATAATTAGCTAACTAAATAGTTCCTCTAGAGGCAATGATGGATTGGATAAACATCTAATATCGAAACGATATTAGTAAACTATCTTCATATTTTGTACTCATTTCTATTTTTTTGGTTTTGGTTTCGTTTCTTTTGGTTTTTGTTCTTTTTTTGTTTTGTTTTTTGTCATTTTTTTTTTTTTGGTTTTGTTTTTATTATTTATTTATAATTTTTAGTTTTGGCATCGGGGCAATGATTCAGTAGTAGTAATTGAGCTAATGAGCCCTAAGCTGCCCTTCCAAGAACTCTACTTGTGTGAGGATATCGCTCTAGTAATAATTCGAATTGGAATGTTTAATGTTTAAGCAAGCAGTGCAAACGAAGGTCAAAAATCGGATCTTAGCCTAAGACTGAGGACTTGAAACATTCGCCACGTGGGCAAATTTTTACTGGAAGTAGTCAAAAGTGAACCTCGGAATTACAACGTGCAACAGCACTCGGTAATGCGCTGTGTGTTTACAATTAATTGGAGTGTGAATTTCTATATCGGCGATTCTTTGATTTCCCTAAGCGATGGAATTCGGTTTTTTGTTTATTCGAGACTAGTTATAAACTATTGTATATTTATCTATGTAGGCGTGTATATATATCTTGAATGCTTGTTTGTCGGCGTCCGTAACTAATCTGTAATAACTATAGAAGAATACGCTTCTCGGTTTCCTTTCTCACACTCGAAACTTTTTTTCTAGCTTTAGAAAATCGCCATCAAATTAAATAAGAACTAATATTAAAAAAAACTTTGTTCTAAAATCATACAAATCTCAACTTGAATTGTTTGTAACTATTTACTAAAATTTCATAAGTGTATTTACATAAGTCATCCTATTTATAGACCTTTTAAAACTGGTAAAACTAAAATCTAACAAAACCTAAAATCAACTTTTTGGTTCTTTAAAAAATTTCCTGAGGCTTAAAAAAAAAATTTAATAAATAATTTTTCCTTATTTTAAATAAGAAATGAAACTTTTTTAAGTGATGGCAGAGTGTTATTGATTTATTCTAATGGCGAAATTTTTAATTCAATGGCGATTTTGGCCATTTTTTTAAGTGTATATTTTGGTTTATCGCTTCTAGGTTAGTCGTTTTCCCTATTCAGTATTGCTCAGTTAATATTTAAGTATCGTACATAGCTGAAGTCAGCCCAGTTAAGTTAGTTAAGAGTTAGTGATTCTTGATTTACTTCGTTTGCTAAATGTTTTTTCTACCTTCGTATGCAATCTACGCCACTAGTCATCGTCATAAACGTAATGGTAAGTTCATTTGCTGTGTAAATTCGCATTACTGCTCAGCTGCTATAATTATTTACTTAAGTTATGGATTCATTTCTTTAAATTACAATTATTGTGCGCTCTTCGATATCCCGTCGTCCAACATGTACGATTCGTCTATCTATACACATGATGTCTGCATTTTCTATAGTGAGTTGGAGGGGCTGTGTGCATGCATATAGTTGTATATTTGAATATATTACGCTTGATGTGCCATGAGCTCTGCATTTTTACACATTATACACATTCTATTCGAGTATGAGGAGCCGGAGGTGTATGCATTTTATCTACACATGTTTATGTTGAAGATGCTCGATTGTAAAATCAATGCTTTCGTTCTTTGATTATAGATACAAATGGACATCAATTTGTTCAACAGATCGGAAAGTCTGAGAGGAGCTAATTTCAGCATACGAAACACTTTCGGAAATACATTAACAGAAGCATAAACCTTTCTATGAGTACAGAGTTCAGAGAAACATTGTGAAAAGAACGTGCCCTCCTCATGAAGAAATGTGACAACGAAGCTATTGTAAATTGTAAATTGTAAATTCCTAAAGTCTGTACACACACACATGCCATTGGATAATGCTAATTTTACAGATACATACTCTTGGTCATAATTGAGTTACTTGGTTGTAGTTGGGTTTTGTGTTTGAATTCATTACGTGTCTATAAGTCGACAAAAAAAAATATTCGCTCGAGTATACATACATAACAGAATAATAAAAAATCGTAGGGTACTAAAATGCGCTTATTTGTTGCTATTATAGCTAATATTTGCTATCGGGTTCGTTCTGTCGAAGGTATTTATAATAGTTGGTAGTCGTAGGTAAATATATTACATACAAAAATTTGATATCTACAATTATCTGGTATGTACATAGAATAAATAAAATGTCGCATTTAAATACACATAATTCAATTACTAACTTTAAATACAAACAAGACAAAAACGCTTGCAGATTACTGATTCCTCGAGTTATGTCCTATATAACTTACAATGTATGCGAGTACCTACAATTTATATTTCCTATGCACTTAGACCTAGATCTATGTGTGTTCTGCTTGAAGGAGTTCCGCTATCATTGGTTTCATTTTGATGTGCTCTTCGTCTAGGCTTGTCCTTACATTAGAAAAAAAGTACAATACACTTGATCATATTCATATCTAACAATAAGTGTTCTACTCCTATTTCTAGGCAAATAGTAGCTCTAATCTGTTTACATATCTCCGTCTCCCTACTCCGGGAATACTCCCCTTTGGAATAGAATCTCTCTCACAATCTTTACACCTCGTTTCCGTTTGCGTTTGCGTTTCAGTTTCAGTTTCAATTAAAGTTGCACTTTTAGTGGTTCTGGATTATGGATTCTGGACTCTGGAGTCTGGATTCTGAATTCTGGATTCTGGTTCTTGATCCAATACTCCTTAAAGCGTATGATACGAATACTGCGGATAGTGCTGGTGATCTTGCTGCAGTGGTGGCTCGTGTTGTAGATCTGGTGTGGTTAGTTCTGGCTGGTGATAACGATGTGCTGCTGCTTCATCCTCATCCACTCTGCCATCAGCATTATCATCATCTCGTTCGGTATTATAATTAATGTCATTATCTGAATATATCTTTTTAATAGCTAATGGGGACGTTATTGTAATTGGTACGCTTAATATCATTGCTTCAGTTTTAGTTGTCCTTGGTGTTATTGCAATTGTTCCGGTTTCGGTTTCGGTTTCGGTTTCTTTTCTCTTTAGATTCATATTTCTGATGTATTGAATATCGGATTGGGGCGATGTTGCTCTGGTTTCCGGCAATGATGCCATCACCGGGGATTGGGGATATGACCCCAAACGGCACCACCTGAGCCACTCAAGTCGCCCATCTTGATGATCCAGCTCTTGCTTCTGTTGCGATTGCGGTTGTCGATTTGGGTTTAATTCCTGTAAGCTTACTCCAGCCAATTTGATATCAGATTTAGTTGTTCCTAGTTTCGGTGTCGATACATTCGTGTCATACCTTCGGTGTCGGTGTAGGTGTGGTTCTCTATGTGGGTGTGGCTGTGGCTGTGGCTTTTGGTGTGCATGTGGATGGGTTTGCTGATGGTCGGGCTGGTATCTGTGTCGTATCGTATCAAAATTGTGATCTAAATTTGGTGCTGACAAAGAGGAGCATATGGCCTGATGCTATACCCAGATCTGATCCTTTCGATTACGCGATCGCAATCAAAGCCTTTGCTAGCACCAATCCTCCTCATCCGAATCGGAGTGTCGAGGGTTCAGACCGCTCTTTGGCTTAAAACCATTTAGAACTGGAGATGGCAGTACACGACCTGTTCGGCCCATAGCCAACGCTTGTTCGAATGACAGCGGTGCTATATATTCCAGTCTGTGAATGATAATACGTACATTGGATTATATACTATATGGTATTACTACTTTAAAAGTACAACACACCTTTCTCTTTCGACCTCCCGCTCGCGATCTCTTTCGCGCTCGTACAACTCTCGCTCCCGATCCCTGTACTCGTAGCGCAGGTCGTACTCGTGCAGCCGATCGCGATCCCTCTCCCGATCTCGATCCCTAAGGCGTTCGCGATCCCGCTCGCGTTCCCTACTACTGTAGTACATGTCCCTTGGATCTCGCAGCAGGTCGCGGTGGTGTGGTAGCGAGTGAACACTGTGGGGCGTTGAGTGGTGTGTCTAAAGGGGAAAATGTTTTAATACAATTTAATAATATGGTATTTTTTTTTTTTTTTTTTTTTTTTTATCTTACATGTGTGGGACTCGCATTCAGCTTGGGAAAATTGATATTGGTTGGCTTGAGCTGCAGTGTTGAAGGTTTGCTGGGAGTCGGTGGCAGACGTCTACCGATTCCGGCTCTTCGGGAGGCCAGTGTTGGGTAACTATGCTGCACATGCGTTACACCTGCGGGAATTGAAGGCATTACTTCCCTGCGGCCTGAACGGTTGTTCTCTTTAAGGGCATAAATCGTTGCAAAAATACTCTGCTGTTATGATACTGAACAAAGTGTACCTAAGTAGTTCTTCACTGACATTAACATGGACAATGCTTAAAACATACATACAAATAATTGGAACATAAAATGGACTGGGACATGTTCGGTAATCATCTTATTTAAACTTCGATAAGGATATTTTAACACACTAATATTTGAGGACAATCAGACAGACATTTTAAACGAAATGTGATTGTTTTTTATTCAAATTCAAGTAAAATTGCGTATTTGGATTCTTAAAGTTACCATCTGACTTTGTTACAAAAAAAAGAATATATTAAGTTACTTAAAATTAAACAATTGAGATTTTATGAATTTTTCAAAAGGTGATTTTGAAATCGTGACAATATTGAACATGTCCCAGTCAGAACCCATTGTATTAAACTTTTATGATGTTAAAAACAATTGTTGCTATGCAAAAATGCATTCTCTGTATCTACGTTGATAAGCGTGTGCAATTACTTGAGCACCGTACGGATTTATACAACTATGGAAAAAAAATATGGAACAAGAACAACAGTGCTATATAATGTATTGAGAGAAATATACACAAGTAGTTGGATGATTTGGGGAATGGCCGGTCGGCAGTTAAGTTGTTCATGGCAACATGCATGACTGTTCGATTCGATCTATAGATACCGTATTTATGCAGAAACGAAAAGGATGGATTAAGAATCGGTGCATAATACTATTGACGCACATTCATAGATAGATAAGTTAGATAAATATGCACACACGTCTAGATACTGAAACACCCAAAAGCTGCATCCCAAATTATTCCTCTGGTAAATACAAAGTAGCTCTGTCGTTTTCACCGCCCAAAAGTCGTATACGAAAACAATACTTGAAACATATTACAGATATTGCCTGTTGATCTTTGGTATAGTGGCTGGACTTAATGGGTGTTATTTGGAACGAGAAGCAAGCTTATAATAGAGATTCTTGGTCAGTGTCTTGTCCTGTGCTAGTCAGGCTGACAGAGGTCGATTTCGAACAAAAAAAAAGTTCTACGACTATGGCTTACGAACTTCACCTTCTTGGGGGATAGTGGATGGACTAATAAATGATGTTCACTTATCTCTCCCCTACACAAATTACGCTTTTAACTTTGATTCCGTTTTAAAAGTGACCAGTACAAGCACTAGATTTTCTCCTCACTAATAATACAAGTCCGTCGAAATTAGTCTAAACTTTGAATAGATTTAAGCTCCTCTTATATGCATGTCTTCTTACCATCATAGATTTCTAGAAAAAAACAGTTCATTTGCCAGAGAGATTCAGTGTGGTAGTTTAAGGATGAGGATGAATGTCTGTACATGTCAGTACCATACATACGAGATGTGATTATAATATAGGTGGATTGGATGGTACGAGTATGGCATCTAGAGAAATGAAAACAATAAACGCTGCTAGTGTAACAAGAGTACGAGTACAAGTACGAATAGTTGAGCACATATTTATGAGTTCTTCGGTGTGGTAGATCGGAGATCTGAATGATTTGAGAGCTGTGAGCTGTGGTTAAATGGGATGTATGATAAGTATAGGACTATTCAATTAATTGAAGCTTATGATTGACTGTTTGGTTGATTGATTGATTGATTGACTGGTTTGTTTTTCTGATTTAACGCCTTGGCATGACAATACATGTACATGTTAAGCATGGTTGGCAACTATGTACGAATACGAGTTAGTTACGAGTTACGATTTACGAGTAAGCATGTCTGATCTTTGATGTTTGTAAAAGTTGAAATGGTTGAAGTTGAAATTTGTGTAGAAGAAAATACTAGCATATATAGAAAACAAGTTGAGTAGTTTTTTGTTTAATTTGATTGATCTTGTTCGACTTTAGATAACAAGTGCTAAGGATGTACCCATATCAATCCCATAACCAAGTCTGTCTCGTTCACGCATCTCCTGAAGTCTAGCGGGACTCGGCGATCGTGATCTTTGACATAGACTGGTTGTCCCATATGTGGGATAAGGCAGTTGAGTGCGTTTACTGCGAGACAAATGACCACCATATCGAGAAGGCGAAGGCGAACGGGCCGGACTTGTCGATGCTGACCATGAACCTATATTGTACATATAACAACAATAATAAAAAAAGTAATAATTAAGGATGTCGGGGCACAACATTTTACGTATTTGATTTTAGCAACATATTTAATTTTTTTATTTTTTGTTTGTCTTTGAAGAGATAATAAAAACAATGAATTACCGACGACTTAACCGAAATGAAAATATTATTATTGGAATATATTATATTGTATTAAAAGATTTCGTTAATAGCTATGGAATTGTAGACATATATTTATATATGTATATAACTACGATTCTACAAAATAGATCAAAAATCCTTGGAATTTCCAAGTGCCTGGTTATGTGTGCCTATTGCAAGCCCGTCCAATATGAATATACATGAGTGATTAAGGGCAACATCGGATACAGACAAACCATTCCAAGGATCATTATGTTGAAGGTTCCCTAACCAGATCAATGGGGCTTACAACAAGCACACACACACACACAAAACTCAGTTAGTTAAGTTCGTTAAAATGCCGTATATCGGCCAATAAATACCTCTTGGATACCGCGGATGACTGTTGCCATGCCTAGGATGACGAGTCTCCTTGACCATCTCTACAACATTAGATACGGTATCGGAGAACCCGATATCATGATGTATGTATTGATGGCCACGCCGTCGAGGACTTGGAGATCTGGCCAGTGGAGAGCCGTTGTGCCTGTAGATGTATAAAGTAAAGTTATATTTTGAACCTTACTGCCCTAACTATTCTTACCTCAAGCTAGGCGATCGCCGATGGCCATTCATATACGAATGTCCAGGATGTAAATGGCCAGCATCGGCACCGGTAAGTGATTCTTGCGAGGGATGTCTCGATGCGTCCTGTAGCTCCAGCATCTAGTTTGGAAGATGATTATGGGAGGAATTAGTAATCTTGATGAATCACCATGAATGCCACCACTCGAAATCAGTCCAAAAAGATTCTGAACTAAAGTTGGGTTCACTTTAAGGATCAGGTTAGGGTTCAGGTTTTGGGTAAGCAGATGGATTGGGATTGGGGGAGCTTTTCCAATTGTCCGAATCGATTCTAATTGGATGAATTTTTAGGTTTTGTCAGCATTTTCAAAATTTGGATCTGGGATTTTGGATTTCTCTAGACCGATTTCTTGTGGATTCATTCATTGCACTATTACATTTCTTTAAGTATGTCTGTGTATTTATAAATTAGGAACTATAGATGTCCATTGCCCCATAATGGAGCGTAGGTAATATATATGTATATATGTTTGTACTTGGTATAATGCTACAAAATAAATATACATAGAGACATGTATGCTTACTTTGCGGGATATAGTATTTAAGGGGTATACGTATACGGTATATAAAAGTAAACAAAAGCAATCATTACTCCACTGCAACAAAATACATATTCAAATGCGTTTAAATTGTACTAGATTGTATAGAAAGGTTCTTTAATGCGGGATTATATTGGATTGTAGTTTCGATTAACCTATTTGAGGGCATGTAACATTTAAGGAATTCCATACACTACTCGGGAGTATACATATACATATATACTTCGTCACTTTCTGTCAATAATTTGTTTCGAGTACTTTCATAATTAACTGGATGTCTTCTCATACTTGAGGTCTTTTTGGGAATGATATGATTGCCATATTGCGTTACTTATTACGCCAATTGTTTATTCGATTTTATCTACGTTATATTTTTGGTTTATTGTCCTATATTTATGGTAATATGATGTAGTACAAAAAAAGTTGAACGCAAAAGGAATAACAAGTAAGTACTAATCGATCTTTGCATCTGGAAAGTGAAGATTGAGCTAGAATTCTCTCTACAAGTTAAGAAGGATTTCAACATGCGTGTGATTGAATAGCATCTACTTATTTGGCAAAGCAGTGACAAAATTTAAAAAACAACAAGGCGGAACAATGAAAGCTAAGCTAATTTATAGGCATGCACTACTTGAGCAATTTAATTGGATAAGTGTTTCGTGTAATGGTTGGTTGTAATGGGTTGTGGTCAGGTCCTGAGTCCTTTTCCAATTGCTCTTGCTTGGGCCGTCAAAAGAGCAGCTTCATCGAGCGTCGCGTCAATTAATTTATTATTGACAAGATCGACGAACTTACTTACCGTACACAAACCGTTTCGCATTCGTGGTTGGACTAACGAATAACATTCAAATACCAAAACTTTATACTTATTACATTTAAATCGAATTCGAAAACAATTACTACCTACACATAAAGCCGCCTTTATATGCGTAACTAGAGGGAAAACTCGCTAGAAATCAAGAATCAAATTGACTTGGGCAAAAGAAACCTCTTCGCCTGACTTTAACACTAAACCATTATATTAAACAGTGGCGGGAGTACATTAAGTGATCAAATTACAGATCGTGTGTTAAGTGGGTAGATTTAACTCTAAGAGAAAAACAGTTTTCTAGCGACGTTACGAGTCATTGAAATATTTTCCCTAAGAGAAACAAATAAAAAAAACTGCAGGTAAGTATTACATAAAGGAAATTACAAAAGTGACCTACGTCTTCGAAATATATCATTTTACAATATTCGGGGCGAAAAAGCCGAATAATAAGAAAAAATTGCATTGTATTATAAATACGTAATAAGGACATACCCCGCATTTTCCTACTACCTACGTTTTTCTTTTCCTAATGGCTTTATGTGTACGTATAAAAGTATATCAAGTCTTTTCCGGGTTTCACTTTCAAAATGTTTACTCAGATTTGATAGCATGGGCAGATGTAAAAATAAGTGAAAACCAGAACAGGCATGATTTTTCTGTCTGATTGAACCCGGGGTTATCGGACTTTGCCCAAGAGGCTGTGAGTGGGAACAGAGTTAGAACCGCCAACTTGTTTCACATAGCTGGCATGTCTGATGCGAATAAACGATTAATGTGACAGAGGCATCGACGACTTGATCTGTGAGTAAGAAATCCTCATTTTCTTGTGTAACATGAAGGTGTTTCGAAATGTCTAGGTCGCAATTGTACTGGGAATGGTGAGTTAATCTTACATTGCTGGTATATTGTACGTGAAAACATATCATGTTATTGCATTTGCCTATATTTACGCTATTTTTAAAGGGCCTGGCAAACTATTTGGTGAAAGGGGCGCACACTTATTGAGGAAAAAACGATTGCAAGTCCGCTTTTAGAAGCTACAAGTCAACTAAGCCTGCTTTAATCAAAGAGGCCTGCATTGTCCACTAAACGAATTTAAAGAAATTCATTGCACAGAGGACCAGTGTATTCTTTGTGAAAATTAATGTTTAATAAACTTTACTTAGTTTATCAAAAAGCTTGAAAACTATAGTTTGAAATCTTCACTTCCCATATCTTGAAAGTTTAAACTTAATAAAAAATTGAAAAGAATGGAATGAAGTTACCTTACATTGGTTAAGTCCAGACAGAGGAATTTTTTTAATAGGGTAATCTGCATATCCCTTTTCGTATAAAGAAAGGAATTGCCAGATTTCTGGCCAAACATTAACTTTCTGGTCCTCCGTGCACTGGCAGGATTGAAAAATGGGATCGGATGGGAGGATCGGATCGGATCGGACTGAGTTTGGTTCGGGTTGAGTGGCGATTTGCCAGAGCCTTTCCGTCCACTGTTCGTTGCCACTTTTAACTTGTCCAAGGAACGAACGCCTACGTACATAGGAGTACATTTAGTGGTTATAGAAACGATCAAATTACAACATTGAGTACGAGTACGAGTACTAAGCCAAGTTTTGCGTTTCTAATGTTTTTAAAAATTGCTATGCAACATTTAGGTACGAGTATGTATTGCACTATTGAGTAAACGCAAATTAAAGATTTATAGTAGGTTGAATACGCAGTACACACATGTGCGCATGTATATATGATGTATGTATTGATATATTTATGCTTGGAGCTCAGCACCCGGTAATCTGGCATATTAAATATATGTTATATTCATACTTTACATAGTCATAGATACGTCGTACATTGGCGCGTACAGCTATACATATACTTATGAGTGAGTATGTATTTAAAGGTACTAGTAGATTACTTGACTTAATCGGTTTGTGAACAACATTTATATCGGAAACGGAGTATGGACACAAAGAGTATTCACATATATTTATATAATACACAATTAATTATTATTTTTGATAAGTAAAATTTGTTGATAATTTCATTTTGGTTTACCGCTTGGAGTTTATCAAACTTATTCACCTTTTTGTTTCTGAAATATTTAAAAATTAGAAGAAAAACAATTTACTTATGTCAATGTTGAGAATGCACAAAGGCACAAAAGATCTTGTAGTTAGTTGCTAATTGTGTTTTGTAAGTGTTGTTAGTAGTAATTGTATTTTGATAGTGTTGTGAAACGAAAGTTTTCTTATGCATGTATGTAAATGTATGCTGTGGTTCTTTACGATCATAGAAAATAATCATTAGATTAGATCTAAACTTTAAGAAGTTTGCTTGGAAATCCTTAAGAAAGGTTTCAGAAATTCTAATAATAAATTAAAATTTCAGACTTATTAGTTTAGATCTATAAACAGCTTTAAGATTTTTGAGAACTAGAGTCTTTACTTGTACTTTACTGGATCTTGAGACGCAATGGAATATATAAAGCTTAAAACATTATATAGAATCAAAGCCTTGCTCGTTGACTTGTTCATTAAAACTTTGGGAATAGGTATATACAGCTGAAGATATTATAGCATACTTTTTTGTGCAAAGCGGAATAGATATTCCTGGAACGAGTCATAAGGTTTGAGCTTGATACCATATTGAGTACAATCGAAAAAAGAAGACCACTCTCTGATGTGTATCTCCTCGTCTTGTTTTTTAGGATGAACGAATTGAAATGGCAATGGATTGATGACCGTGGTGTGCTTTTGATGGTGATGATATGGCAATGGCAATGGCAATGGAGATGATACTTTGCACTTTACGGACTATAGTTAAGATTGAAGCTGTTTTAAATTACCTAACTGATCGCTTTCTGATCGTACTCCGCCGTGCTAGTGTTGCCAAACTGTTGTGTTCGGCATCACCGTTTGCGTGGTGGTGGTGCGTGCTGGCTAACAAATGTGTTTGTGAGTTGGCGGCTCCTTCCCCATTCGGCTCGAAACTTATGGAGCCCTGTCGCGATCCTCCTTTGTCAAGGGCGGCCATATCGAGTAGGCAGTTAAAGAATGATTGTTTCTACGGTTTTTTGTTTGTAATTGGTAGTTGATAGTAGACAGTAGACAGGAAAGTGCAGTGGTTTTGATTTTATATTGATTTTTTCAATTGCCATTCCGTTCCGGTTCGTTTTAGTTTTAGTTTTAGTTTCGTTTTCGTTTTTTGTCGTTGTTGTTCGTTTGCATGAATATTTTTCGTGTGTTTGGTTTTTTTTTTTTAATTAAGTTGTAGTTTTTTTTTAGTTGTAGAAATACAGATTTCAGATAGTGTTGCAATTCAATTAGTTTGTTGTTTATTGTAGACACAGTTGTGGTTAAAGTTGGGTGAGTGGTGAATATATTGATGTAGTAACATTGCAACGCATTTGGGATTGGTTTTTGTTTTGATATTTTTTGTTTTTTTTTTGTTTTTTGTATAAGCATTGAAAATGGAATGTAAGAATTATTATAGAATAATTAAAAAGTATGAGTAGATTACAGAACACAAATAATAATCAAAAGTATTGTTATTATCGCATATATGTACATATGCATAGTATATATTGGTTTATACATATGTACGATTATTAATAATGGGGCGATAGCCCCTGCTTAATATCTTTACATTTAGGTATGGTAGTAGTATATAGCATTTCGAGATGTGTCAAGCTCTATTCGGATTGTGTCGGTATTATGTGGGTTAAGAGGAGGCAATGTATAAGAGATGCTTTCGCTTAAGATTTCATAAGTAGCTTAAAAGAGAGGCTTGCTTAATACGGTAAAAGCATGCGCAAACATTTTTACAACTCACTATGATTTAAAGAAAATCTAAGAGGTACCGCTATAAGACAAAATTGTTACAATTGTTTTTAATATTGTTATTATTATTATGTGCCAATTTAGAGAAATGGTCAACCAAACAAGTGAGTACGAAATTTATTTATGTTTTTCTATTCATAACAAAAGGAATTTAAATGGTGTCGAAATAAAAAAGTAAACTTATATTTGTATGGCATTTAAATGTAAGTACTAAATTAATTATAATCTTAAATACCCATATGACATTCGACTTGAAAGAGAATTCTTATGACGGGTTAAGAGCCTTCAATTTGAAATATAAAATATATGGTTTAATCTTTCATTCTTTTATTTAATTTTTAATTGTAAGTCAAAGTTATTTATTCATAAACCATTCCATTCCATTTTTTTAATCTCTGCAACACACATGTGACAAAAAAAAACCAACCACTAATAAATTATCATACTTGTAATATGGTTCAGCTTTTAAGAAACTTCATCCTTATCTGCGGTTTACCTTTTAGTCTAATGTCATATGGGCATATAAGCATAATAAATTTGACCGATTTCTTTATTATCTTCCATGCTTTCATTTTGAATTGTTTAATTAATGTCTTCAGATTGATGCGATCGCTTGATTACCTTAAGCATGCCTATTCAGCAATAATGATTATAGGAAATTCACTAGCAATTCGACTTGGAAACGAAAATGTTAAATATAGGACATTTGCCTGATATAATCAAAGTTTTCCTGATTTTTCATATAGATTATGGATTTATTGAATCCATTTATGGTTCATTGTATCTATTCAAATTTAAATATTTACAATTTTATATCAGTCTATAGTTGTTTCACTAAAGGTTAGGTGGTATATGTATATTTAACTCGAGACTATGGCTTTGTCGGTATATCAAAATGCTGTCTTGCGGTTGAGTGCAACATACCGATCCATACTTAAAAATAGTGCGCTATTTAAAAAGGAGCCACTAAGTGTGTAATAAACTAAATGACAATCACTTTAAATGCATCAACACACAAGGACTTAGACGTTTCACATTGTAAAAATAATTATTCATATCGTCAAACCCTTAAGAATTATATTTCCTTAAGATGCTAAATTGCTTTGACTTTTTATCTTTGTCGCAGGGAACCTTTTTCATGAGATGGTATTATTATAAATTGCTTCCAAACTAAAATTCGCCGTTCAAATAAATGTTTAATAATTTATAAGAAGTACATTTACAAGTCAAAAAACCCCTTAACTGATCTTTCAAAAAATAATTGTCTGAATTACTTCCGGTGTATCATCGATCTTTCGATTTCACACATATAGTATCTTTTTGGTATATATTTTCTTATTTCAGTTGTGAATGGTATGTTAACCTATAGTCTCTGTCTCTAAAAGAAGTCAGAGTATATCCAAATATATTATTTTAAGCTTCGAAATCAGACTTCTTAAACAATTGGTATCAGACGATCGTGGATGTAGAATACATTTTATACTAAATACGTATGTAGAAAGATCTGCATGTAAAGTTTACAAGTAAAAGTACATTTGATGATAGGATCTCTGAAAACGTAGACATCTTAATTTGCAGTTCAAAACTAAATGGGTGAACCAAGCACTTTACTATGGAATTTTATTTTAATTTTTTTGTATATTGAAATAATGTAATTTTTAAACCCCTGGTACATTTATATTCACACTTTTGAAAATAAATATTTCTCAAGGAGTTCGCAGGGGGTCCTAAGAGGATCCTGTGGAGCAGGAAAGCAGGCAACCTATACCAGAATTACACTCTTCTATGAAAACAAAAGTTCGGTTGGCTAGTGGGTGTATTAAGCGAAACATGACCATGGCATTGCAGTTGGGTGTTCATCTACAGCTGGTTAATAATAGGTTTTTGGGTGTACTGGATTTTTTTTTGGTTGCACTCTTTTGTTTAGATTTATTTTGATTTTTAAATGGGTGGGCAGGCTTTTATGCTGGTTTCCTAGATATTTGAATACTCTTAGGCGAGTACGTATGTAAACATGCCTCTAGCCGAGAATGGTGAAAAGTTGTACAAAAGTAGTAGACGCAAAACATGTGGTAGAGGAGGAGCTTTATTCAAAAAGGCGAAAGAAAAACCAAGCGAAATATAGATAGGTATATATATGGAAATATATTATATACCGGCTCCTCGACTGCCGTTGGGCTATATTTATGGCCATCATCGTCTTCCGGCTTCTTCCGCTATCATTGATCATTGATGTAATTTTTATTACATCGTCCAATTATCATTATTATCATGTTTATCGAACATGGATCATGTTTTTAATTATAGATTTTTAATATTCAATTTTGAGTTGTCAATGGATCGTTTGTGTGTTGTGCACAAAAACAGGATAACAGATAAAACATTTTAATTAATTACTTCAATACGTGTGTGTATTTAAACCACAAAGGCCAGATTTTTCAATGTCCAGCTAAAAATTGCATGAATTTTAACTTGACATCAAGAAACTGGACCTAAAAGTGGATAGATTTAAGGAATGTGTGGATGTGTGAGGATGTTCCTTGATTATTTTTTGTAAATCCCCTTAGTCTGACTCTTAAGTTCGAATGATTCCACATTTTGATTTTGGTGTTGACGTTGTGTAGTAACAAATGGCAAACCTCTAGAATTATCTAAGAATCAATACAGACAGATTTGTATAAAGTGTGTCAAATCTGATCTGGTCGTATCTACTTATAGAACGAACATACAATCGCAAACTGGAGAATCAAAATACGAACTGGTCAACTCTACCGATATATAGGTATATATTTGTGTATATAGTAAGTAATTACTTAAGGATACTCGACTTCTACAGAACGGTATTTCCAATGCTCATTACACGAGTCGATTTAGATACATTTCATTCGACTTAGATCGAGAAAATAATGCATCCCACACAGTGGAAGATCCAAGGATTTTCTTGATAGTAATCGTAATATAAACAAATAAATTTTGATTTAATTTGTTTTCACCTGGATCCACCCCTGATTTTTCGAATGACTGCCCATAAAGAATTCAAAATTTTGAGTGTAACTCGTTTGCGCTAGTTTTTCGATAGGATCTGATAAGGGCCCTCTTTTTTGGGCCAATTATGGGCAGCTGGTTGTACACACACATCTTACGTATACGTAATATATGTGGTTATATAAATTCGAGTGTGTAATACTAAGGTTTGGGTATTTTTCTCACATACAAACGGGCATGTATGTGCGCAAATATATAAGGTATTGTATGTACAAATGTGATAAACATGAGGTTGCATATAAAATTAATTATATACCTCCTTCCAGTTCTGCATATTTTTCATTATCTCGTTTAATTTGATTACAGTATTTGTTATTTTATTGGTTGTTATTCAATGAGAGAGTTCATATTCAATCGTATGAGAAGAGAAATCATAATATCACATATTTATTCCATGTTATATAGATTTAATAGAATAGTTTGTAGTTGGTGTTGCTTAGTTATAAGTAAATTGTTTGTGGTAGAGAAGAAAAGGTATTTATACTGCGTATTTTCTTGTTCTTACGCCGAAAAATCAATTCAAAATCGCCCTAAATATGTGAAATATTCAAGAAACTAAGGTGAGAAGCATTCCCTGGACTTGACATTGTTTACTGTCATAAAAGATTCAGATTCTTCAAAAAATTCTTAATTAAAGAGTGTTGTATTCATTATAAAAATCTAAATCAATTAAATAGAGCAAGTTTTAATACATTGTCTTTCGAAATCGATTTAAGCTTTCCCAAATGTTTCAATAATTTTATAAAATTAAGATTGTAAAGTTTAATTTATTAAGTATCATCAAAACTATGTTGAAATCGAATTTGAATAAATTATTTTAAGAAAACAGCCTGTTACATATTAAAAATATATATTAATATGAAGCTTTTCTTAAATTTAGGGCGATTTTTTTAAAGTGCAGCATGAGCTTGAAGTGCTTTGAAAGACTGATAGAGAATAGATGAAGAGTGACTTGTATAAATCTGTTACTCTGACAATACATTGTCTAAATGTAGACCTAGACTTATTATAACATTACAGAAGGCGACTCGACGTAATCCTAGAATAAAACTGCCTATGTCTGAGAATTAGTAATGCCTAAAGATTCCTGAGGGCTTGAACCTTGGATGGGTACCATAGGAACATAGAGACTAACTGGCTTGACTGAAAGAGTCGGTCCAAGTGGACCGTACTCATATTCATGGGTATCCTCGACTCTACGCAACTGGAGTAGTGCGGTAGTTTGTGTTAGGGGCTGGGCGATGTTTTTGAGTGGCTTACCGGCATTCCCGAATCAAGCTGGCCGAACCGCGTGCTGCGCCAGGACTCCAGGATGAGGAAACCTGCATAGATTTTACCCACTGAGAGCTTGCCCTTGTTGAGCTGATCGCTCGGCGGCACCAGCAGGTTCAGCATCTTCTTCGCCTGCAAGGGCCAGATGTTCGTGATCGTCTCCCGGAGCTCCATGTCCGCCTGGTCCATCTCCTCAGCTGATGGGTAGATCAAAATATGTATATATTATCAGACCTGTTAACATTCTAATGAATCCATCTCCTTCCTCATTTGACATTAGAGTATTTAAGTAAGTAAAATGAACCTCAACGTTCTAGAAATATGTCTCTACAAGATTATTATTGTATTATTAAAGATGGTGCAAACAAAAAATATCTCAAAAAATAAATATTTGGTTTTAACCAAGCTTACTTCTAAACCAAACTTTAAAAACATCTATATCCTAAGGAACTACAGAACTACATAGCATATGTATACATCAACTTTAAATACAAATACGTACGCGCTCGCATTTTGATGCTAAGATTCTCCCGAATCAAAGCAAATAACGTTGTGGTGAACTGAACTCTCAGCTCGTCGTCCAGGGGCATATTCATTCGTATTAGTTTCTTGTAGGCCAGTCGATTGGGACACTTGTTTCCAAATCCCAACGGTGGATCCATATTCTTCAGCATGTCGTACATTTCCGTGTAGTGTATTTTACCACTATGTATCCGGGAACATAATAAAAGTTAGTGGGGTTCTTTAAGGCACTTGTGTACTTGGTCCGTAACAAGGATCAAATCAATATATTCATGTTACCCAGCACTCACATCGATCGTCAGAGAATGTGAGTGCCAGATGTAAACAGTGTAGTTCCTCGGCAAAGCCGAGAACATGCATGAGTCAAAAATTTCTGGCTGGATTATACAAATCGGAAAATTCTCAGGTGGTTGAATCACTGGCCAGGTGTCTCATGCATGGGAAAACTAAAGAAAAATGAAGTACTTGGCATTGCAGTTCCCCCAATCCTTTTTCTTTAGTGAAAGGACTTAAGCTCAACTTGTGCACAAAGCCAACCACGAGTATGAATCAAGTACGACCAAATAATAATCGTTTAATATAAAGGTAGCCCTTTGGCACTTTCCTTTTTTTACCTCGCATATCGAATGACAGAAAATGAAACAGAAATTATAAGATATAAGATATAACTAAAAATATTTTAGGTGGGGGAAAATGTGGTGTGTCATGTGGTGTACAATGTACATATATATTAAACAGATAATTACGTCGCATTTGGATCATATTCCGCCCATATGCGCACAAATTCGTCTAAGTGATGAGCACCCAAGATGCTGGAGTCCCGCGTGAGATAATCAAAATTATCCATGATGACGGCGACGAACAGATTCAGCATGAGGAAGGAGCAGAAGAATATAAACGATACGAAGTAGGCGTAGGCCAGTGTGGATCCGCAGTACTCTCCAGGTGCCTTCTCGGCGTCCTCGTCGCAGGCCTTGCCCTTCAGACAGGCCAGCATTATGTTTGGCCAGGCCTCGCCCGTTGCACACCTACAGTTCCACAGTTGTATGGTATGTAGAACAGATCATTAATACGTAAATCGAGCCTACTTCTATGCGTACACATATATATATGGTTCGTAAGTGGTATATATAGGGGTTACTAACTCTATATGGAGGTTATTTGGTACGAAAATGCACTTTATGAGTATGTCGGCTCGCAACTACTGACCAAGTTCTATGTATTTACAGATAGTGTATATACATAAAAGGGACTGAATGATGTTATAGGTATGTTGTAAGGCTTACTCTATAAATGACTATATGTAAGAATAAGCTCTTTAGTCGTCAGTATTCTTCAGTTACTAAAATATAAGGCTTGTGTCTATCACATCTACTTTATACTTCCACATTATAATCCACAGTATCTAAACGGTTTATAGATTCTATATTTGGACATATCAAAATATATCGGGGATCTTATGTTATTTCATCAAAATAAAACCATAAGCCAACAGCTTATAATTTATTCATTATTTTAAGTCCCGTTATATATTGATTTCACATTGCTATCGTATATGATTACCATTAAGTTATTATTAAACTATATATCATTAATAATACATTTATTATAAGCTATGTATTCCAGCCATTGAATAATGTTTAAGCTTTAGAAACAAAAATAAATTTGGAATGAAATGATTTCGACAATTCTGAATCTGGTTGTAGATTTTTTTTCTATATACTATATATATAGATTTACGTACAGACTAAGCTACGATTTAAAAATACTTAGGGTTGCCAGGTGGCGCAAGTTCCGGACAAACGGATATTTATACCAATTGAAAGTACGATCTCTTTTACAGACTTTTCATACCTAGATTTAAAGCGTACATGAGTTCTATATATTCAAGTTAGGTGTGTGGCTAAAAAATGATAAGTAATGATATGATTTTCATACAGACATACGTCAATCGAGAGTTCTATTAACTTTACTATCAGTATATAGATGTAGATATAGAGAAATATAAGTAGGGAAGGGCAAATCGTTTTGCGACGTACAAGTATATAACAACTATATATGTATGTAAGTATATATAGCTATAACGTAAATTACCAGCAATACTGTAAAACTATGAAACTTTCATTTAAATCTCAACTGATTAACTGCAACAACGAAAAGTGCAAACTTTGAAAAATCAAGCTGCGCTCAAATTTAGTAATTTTAATAATATAGCTCTACAGGTTTGTAAATACATAGATTTTACATATATGTATACGTATATTCCAGCTTTTTTGAATCAGTGTCGCAATTCTAGAACTCAATCTACTTACACAGGTATCAAAAAACTGTAATTATTGTTACGCAAAACGAATGTATGTAATGAAATTGGTTTGAGATCTGAGTTGTTTTATATTGATTGTTTTAAGTTGTTGTTATGGATTTACCACCGTTTATATGGTTGTCACAAATCCGATTGATCCGTGATCAGCTGGGAGAACCTCGAAATAAGTTCTGTTTCATCTAGAAACCAATATATAGATTATATAAAAATATGCTAAGAGAGTCGATCTAAGATCTAGATTTTTCTATGTGGCTTCGATATTAATGGGTTGTTAATTTAAAATAAACCAAGAATGAGCTAGAATTTGAAAATCTTTGTAAAACGAATACCCCATTAAGACTACTATGGTCTAAATATCTAACTGACATATATTTTTTGTGGCTAGGGTTTTTCATTTTCAAGGTGCTAGACACCTTTTAGAAGACCCTATCGCTAGGCTATTGACGTACTATTTAGTTATAGATTATAAAATCGCGACTGGAACGAACATCTATCATTGCGAACATATGGATTGTGGTAGAGTTAAATTATGCTAACTTGTATTTTATGTATAACTATTAACTTAATTACTGAGAGTCGAAACTTTGTATTGGATAATAACAGTACATGGTACATATTGCAAATGACTGGAGAGATCTAGGAGTTACGTACCTGAATAGCAACATGACGCCTTGAATAAATGATTGGAAGTTGTTGTGTCTAGTAATGGAATTTTCCACCGTACCTAGTTTGATATTCCCGAACACCTATTCACGATTCAAATATCGGTAAAGAATGCATTGATTATTTGTTCATTTTTTTTTGTTTAGATACTGAAATGGTTAAGTTATATTCGTTATTTCACATTACACAGATTCGCCTCCACCTCAATATTATTATTCAATTATTCTCCACAATGCTGTCTCTACTAAGTATCAACGAAAAACCCGCGATTCCTGACGATTAAACGGCAAATCCATGTGTGAGTGGGTCAGGAGGATCAGGAATATATATATAGTATATGTGCCGACTTCCCCCGATTCGCAAAGTCCATGTAGATGTGTAGGTGTATGAACTGATAGTCGGGGAATTGCACAGCTAAAACTCTATGACAGTCAACATTGGAACAAAATACACTTATTTCATTTTCTCAATAGCTCACGAATCAAATAATTATATTAAAGTCTTGGGTAATTAGCAAGCTAACTAAACAAAGTTACGGGATGCACAAATTATATTGAAATTTGTGCTATATACTCTTCCCATAATATGTTAAAAAATAATAATAACTATCAAAAAAGCAAACTGCAAATAGCGAAACCTAAAAATATTATAGTTTTAATTTGACTTGCCTATGTTTACCTTTTTTTTATTCTGAATCTTTATACAATAAACATTTTTTTTAACAAAATAAAATACTGATACAGTCAAATCATTTTGCAAATGTACGAATCGTACCTACTAAATCATTGTATTATTTTTTGGCTTTTTATTTTTTTAGATTCGAGAAGCAAACAACCTGAAGTCTGGTACCTTCTTAAAACACAAACATTAAAGGGAAAATAACTTTATAACTTAGCGCATCTATGTACAACATTAAAAAACAAAATGTGCAATGATATAGATAGGCTACATTCACATTCGATTGGTGATAGAAACGAGTCCAGGATAATGAAACGATTGAAAACGATCAAAGCTACCATAAGCATACGAATATGTAGCTCGATTTAAAACCACAATTCACAATCTTAACTGCAAACAATACGGATCAAACAACTTTAAACGGCATACACGGTTTCCTTGATTGATTGATTGCGAATATGCACAAGCTTTAAAGTTCGATTTAAACACAGACATGGGAGTTAATGATTACAATTGATGAGATTTTATAGAATTAGGGGAGTTTGACCACAGCGGATACCCTCCGGTATTTAATTACACCGACCGAATAATTTCGAATAATATGACTCGACAAATGACTACGTTTAATGTTGAGTATACATAGGTGACTGTAGTGCCATCTTTTGGGTAATCGCTATTGAATAACTATAAGGCTAACTAGGTTACTTTTCTCGTTTACCGAAAGAGCAGCATGATTCCACCGGAGAACGACTGGAAGTTATTGTGGCGGTTGAGTTGCGTGTCCGGATCATACTTTATGTTGCCGAAAACCTTTTGGTTTGATGTAAACATTATAATTGAATTGGATAGGCATTAAATTGGTCCAGCAAATCATGAGTTTTAACAAAACCAACATCCTTTCCTCGACTAAGCTAAGCTATTTTCAAAGTTACTATATGCAAAAGCAAATAAGACAGCTACTTAATCTATAATTGTTTTTTTTTAAGAGACCTCCAGAGTATTCAGGCCCAAAAAGCATTTAACGGATCCCTTTGCAGCATAAAGTCGGTGGAGAATGGACAACCCACTAACCCAATATCTTTTACAAACTGTTTACCCTAGCATATTTGTCAACCACTCTTGATACTAAGGTTTTTTGTTCGGGATCCAGTATTTGACTTACCTGCATGCCAATAATGGCGTATATAAAAAATAGCATGGCTATAAGCAAACAGACATAGGGAAGAGCTTTAAATGATTGTACAAATGTCCAGAGAAGAATTCGTATTGTGTATCCTTGACGAAGTAACTTGATAAGGCGCGCCGCACGAAATAAACGCAGGAAGCCGACGTTGATTGAGTTCGACTGTAAAATATTATTGGCCAAAACACCAAAGGAAGAGAGAGTCGAAGAAACAAAAAAGAGGAGAGAGAGAAAACAGAACGGATAAGGAAATTGGCATTAGACTGGTTAAACGTTCCCGTCTTATAGTACGGATTCGATGGAACCCGGGAACTCGGGGAGCTCTGTGGGGAACTAGAAGGCGTCGCCATCGATCTACGTGATTCGATGCATTTCAATCTAAACTATCGATTAGTAGTAGCTCGTTCCGTTAGTAGTAGTAGTAGTAGTAGTAGGTAGTAAGTAGTTAGTTAGAGTAGGTAGTATTGGGTGAAGTAGTAGTTGTGCAGTAGTATGTGGCTAGGCGCAGTTGTAGTAAGTAGTAGGTAAGTAGGTAGGTAATAGGTAGAGAGTTACATACATACAAGTGGCGGTAGTTTCATTGGTTAGTTGTGTATAACGATCGATATAAATCTTTTAAGCTATGTTAGTCGATTCGCTCTATCACAAATAAATAACAAATAAAATCATAAGTAAGTTCCAATTTGAATTTACTCATAGTATGGTTTTTAGTATACACAAAAAAGCCAAGTGCTAAACAAAATCGTATCGTTTTAACCATTTTTACAGTAATCGTAATGTACATAATTTTTCGGATCATTTTTTGGTAATCAATAAAAACGTAAAAAACTATTTAAGTGGTTTTCTGTGCGTATCAGTGTGTTTGTGTATCTGTTTTTTAGTGTTTTGTGTTGAGATTATCACCCAAAAACATAGTGATTTGTGCGTGGGCATCTGCCAAATACTAATTAACAAACTGTACGGATTAGAAAAATACACATATTTGTTTGTTCGTCTAAGGAAGAAATTTTGAAAAGCGATGTTTGTGCGTGGGTTTTTTATTTTATTTTTTTTTTTTTCGTCTAAACTAATCGTCCCAAGTAAAAGTGGAACATGCGAGGCGTGTTCTACATACGTATGTATATTGAATTTGAAATGGGCCTAGGTTGGCGCAAAACCAATTGGACAGTACAACAGTTAAGTAGGTATGTACAATGGAATTCTCCATTTTGGAGAAAGTAAGCGTTGCAGTACTTGTTGCTTGAAAACGTTGGGGGTTTTTTTTTTGTAAATAACTATACAGTCGAATTCGACGGGGGCTTTGGCCAAAATATTTTACGCATCAGCTGTTGAAATTCGCGCATGGGCGGATGCATTCCAGGTTTCCAGGGGGATCCCCGTTTGCATCCGATCATGCGTGATATAGAAAATAGAGTGCCGGTTAACTAGGGGTTAACCGAACACGACAACCGCTGACTTAAGGACGCATACCGCCTCACCGTGGGATCTGCATTGATAAATCACGATTCGACACTGTAGAACATGGAATTATTTATACTATATATATATAAATTGATGGTTATTAATATTGCATATGTACACTGAAACAAACAAGAATTAATTCAACAGCGAATGGTATTCATAAGGGGGTAGTCCTGAAATCGCGCTCAAATGTATTCAAAGATTAGAGTTGTCAAAAAATCATTTATTTATATAATCTATACTGGATATATTCAAGCCAATTTCGGGATTACCCCTTTGTTAATCCCGTTCAAATGTGAATTTGGTGTAAGTACTTAATTAATGAGTTTGCATATACTTAAAGTTAGAGAGTGTTTATATAGAGACAAAACAGTATTTGACTACGGAGTCTAGAGCGGATGAGGGATTAGATGTTTGAGTAGTCGTTGCCTTGGAGTAAGTGAACAAAAAGATAACAGAATCTGGCGTACACAGACGTCACCAGTTCCTTGATCGAGATATATTATATCTATGTACACGGGATATATGGCATGAGCTAAGCAGAAAGTCTATATCTACCTGGGATTCTGCACTTAGCTATATGGTACTTATAATGGCTCTGCGGGTTATGCGGGGAGAATAGAGAGAGAGGAGTGTACTATGAAGAATAATTCCACGCTGTTGTTCCTTGCGAAAATAGTAATTGTGAATCTTGGGAAACTTGGGACGACGCACTTAAAAGTAACTTAATTGGACTATTCTAACCCAAAAATATCGAAAATTAGGGATGCGGGAAAAGTACACACAAGTATATATATTTCATGATCATAATAACCCTGTCTATATTCGCTGATATAGTTATATGGTTAAACTAGCTATGAGTATTTACGTAGAGAGTGGGCGAATAAATAAAAGAAATTCGAACTTGAAACTACAGATGATGGTTCATCGATGTGATCTACTCGTATATAAGGATTTTTAAAATGGAAAAAACATTCTGGTTGTAGTTAAGGTTTAGCTAAACTGGCTAATTATTCAAAAGAATTTTGTTGAATGTTGTGTTGTTGTATTGTATCATATTGTTTTCGTTGTTGTTGTTGTCATCGTTGATGTTTGAGTTTTGTTCGATTTGAAAATAGAAAGCTTGTTAGGATAGATTTGTTTACTTACATCCTGTTAGTCAGAAACCATTTTCAATTGAAATTTTTGGATTTGTTTTGAGACAAATCAATGTGCACACAATTCATAAACCGCATTAGAAACGATTAATTCGTATATATATACATATAAATATATATATATTTTTTGTGACGACTCAGGCAATCATTGTTGTAGTTGTTGTTGTTAGTTGTTGTAGTAGTGGTTGGTGTTGTTGAATTTATCATTCAGCAGTTTGTATTCGATTGCAATCAGATATTCAGATATATAGTTCAGATCGTTGCAATTTACAAGACGAATAACACAACAAGGACATGTTTATGATTGGTTTTGGTATTCAATTGGTTTAGTTTTTTTGTTTTTTTCAGTGCAGTTTCAATAGATACTCGGACGTTTGACGATCGATCACAGGTCAAACGAAATTCGTTGGGCGGCGTTCGAGCGATTATTGTTGATTTTCGTAATGGTTTTTACACAGTTATTGTGTGTTTTTTTTTTTTTTTTTTTTTGAAAAATATAGAAACAAATAAAGTAGAGTTGAAAATTAGTAGGACAAGTTTTCTGCAGTTTCAAGCAGGTATACAAAGATAGATCAAGATCAATATCAGTAAGCAGAGTTTGTGTGTATATATGTCATTGTTCTAGTGTCGGTATTGTTTTCTAATTGAATTGGTTAGGAAAAGTACAGCTCAGCAAGGATCTAATTCGATAATTCTATTCACGCAGATCGGTTCGGCTATGCTATGACTTTTTGTTTTATATTGACTTCTACGAGGGCTGTTATATTCGAGCACACACATTTCATAAAAAATGTATTTGAAACATAAAAGAGAAAACAGGGTGGTTGATAGACGAAATGAAATACGAAAAACCGAAAGTTACCTTGCAAATGGATTTAATTGTTTTACCTCTCTTACCCAGGATTAATACCATGGACTCTCGGGATCTGCAGCGGTGGAACAACCAAGGCAAGCAACTATAGAACCACACTTCAGCATTTAACAGAATCGGGGGTTGCGTGTTCAATAAGCGGAAGCCAAACTTCTTGATAAAGAACTCCGAGTGAATTTAACGATCAAAATCGCAAGTGTGATTTGTGATTGAGTGTATGGATATCGGAATGTATTTGAAAGTGCGAGTGAAACATGCAGGAGATGTAACGAAAGCTAATCCAAGCCCCTACTAAAAGTTGCAGTCATGGGATTGAAAGATGTGAGCATAGCAAAACTGAAGGTGGCGATGTTAAACGGGGTTTATTTTTTTTTTTTTTTTTTTTTTTTTTTGGGCGGAAAGAAGCAAATCTTGAAAGCCATCCTGTGACTCATGATATAGAGAAACTACTGCGCTGAACCTGCGAAAACATTACCCAGAGAGAAAACTAGCAGGAGCAGGCGGAAAATTGGGCAGGGGTACTCAGTCACCAATAAAAAAAAAATACTTTAAAAAATACCAGACAGTATTGAAATCATGCTTTTGAAGAGTCAAGTTTAAGATATTTAGAGATTATCCAGTCTGAGCCTTGTTTAAGTACCTCTTTAGTTGGCCTCAATTTTATTTTGCTCGCAGACTTCGAATACGACTACTTACAGTTACTGATCGACTGTTGGGCAGCTCATAAAATACCTCATCCGATGCACAAGTTCGATGTGATAATGATGACAATGATGCTGATTTTGATCTTGCTTTGGTTATATCGGTTTATATATCGAATATTTTTTACGAAGTATTATTCAATATCGGATATTCTCAAGTGGGGTTTTTGGGGTTTTGCGTTTATGTGTGTGCATGACAGTATGAGTGGGCAGAATAATAGGTGTATCGCAACGAGTTTCCATGTGTTTTTGTGACATATGTCGTGACATTGCAATATCGATTAAACCAAAGGAGTCCATGTGCAGTGTAAACCAAACGGAAACGGAAAGTGGTTCAAAACTCGAACAGTAGTTGCATAATATCAATGCACTTTACAAGCACTTTGGTATCAGTTTAGCCAAATATCTTAACTAGAATAGAAGTTGGGAGTTACTAACTTATAAGCTCTATTTGTTCATTGATAAAATCATGTTCTTTGCCTTATCTGAACATCTTAAATTTAGAAATGGTATAATCATATCATTTTTGTTGTAGGGTTTATATTTATTCCTATAGTTGCGATTAACTCTGCCTTTATTATATCAAAATGATATTACCATCTAGATCTCGGGGCCTATACGATCTAGGAATAGGAGATTATACATAAATATGTCTATTTTTTATGAAATCTATATTATAATTAATAAGACCAGCAGTTATAATTGATATGCTCTGCAATTTGATCACCATGATGATCAACACTAAAAGATCTCAGAAAACGACTTGACTATTTACCAAAATACGGATACACATACACATATATATCTGTTAAGAGCAACTAAGGGATCTTTATATTGTAACAGGACAGCCACTTTCTGTGAAATATTGAACTATATTAAGTGGGACGGTATTTTTGGAGAATCAACATTAGAGCTTATAATCTTCTATAGAATATTTATCTATATAAGCAGTTTCGACCTCCCCTTGCTGTACATTCCACCATTAGCTTAAGCTCCACTATAGGCTTATACAAGCTTTACAACTTTTTACAGGAGACAGAGATAGACAGTAAAAGGTAGCCATAAATACAGATAGATATAGAGACAGACAGAGAGACACAGTAGCAAGTACAAATCGCAATGTTGTGTGCTATGCAAAAGAAAACTGATTGCCAAATCGGAAACGGAAATGAGAATAGAAAATTTAAGTAAGATGGATTAACTAAGATAAACAAGTATATAGAGCTAATTCGTAGTGAGTAGTGAGATAATAATAAAATGAAACTAGAATCTGTTTTAGGCGAAACGAAAACGATAGAGTTAAGGATTAAAAACGAACGTAATTAATAAGCTTTTTTAGGTGGAAGGCCATTACTTAGCGTTTTAAGCATTAAGTTGTAAGAATCTAAGTTCATTGATTGGTATTATTGGAATTACACATTGAAAAGTTTTTGGATAAATGCAAAATCAGTGTAGATTGTGTTTCGTACTTACATCGTGCTGCAGGTTGTGTCGTTTGGTTGTACATGTTGTAGTCGATGTTCAGATGTAGTTTTTGTTGATGAGAGATAGCCACGTCCACACATACACGGGCAAGCGTATACACCGGCCACGTATGTGTGTGTGTGTGCACGTGTATGGATGCGGATATGCATGTGTATATGTGCGTGCACGCATGGTTGATTAACACAGACACAGTAGCAGGACATACACATACACATGCATGGGATTTGACGAGATGATGGATCATTTGTAATCGAAATTGTTGATCGATTGTTTTGATTAATTTGGTCGATTGATTCGATTTGTTGATTGATTCGATTCGATTCGGTTGGGATTCCATTTTAGATTTTGATTGATTTCATTTGGTCGGTATTCGTATCAAGTTGATATTTTGCATATAATCATTTGAATTTGAATTTGATTGGTTCAGTGAGTTTATAAATATATATATTTTTTTTTTTTTAGATACAAATTCGGTGGTGATTTGGTGGCATTGGTGATTGTGGTAGTGGATCAGTGGACACGTGGATCGGTGGATCAAGTGGATCAGTGGAACAGTGGTGGTGGTTTTTTTTTTGGTGATCGAGAGAGACATATAGAGTTTGTTGCACATTCATTGCATTTGGTATTTGTAATTACATAGATGGTATTGTTGTTATTGGTTGTATTTGTTGTAGTTGTTGTTTGTGTTGAAGATATTATTGTTTGCACGTTGTTTGAATTCGTTTTCAATTCATTCCCGATGTGGCCAATTGCAAGGGACATATAAAACGTTGCGTTCGCATATATAAATTACATTATATATAGGATAATTTTACACCAGTGTATAGATGTGGAGATTTGCGTGAGTTATATATATGAAATTACACATTTGTTTTGGATGTGTGCGTGGGTTTTTTTGTATTTTTTTTTTGTCATTATTGTGTAGATATATATATTATTGCGTGAGTGATTATTATATATTTTATGTAATTTTATTTTTTTTATTTGCATTCATCGAAACATATTTTTGGATTGATTCGGATTGGGTTTTCCCGATTTTGAAACCACATTTGGTTTTTGGTTTTCGTACATAAATAAATATGGAAAAGGAAATCAAAAAAGAAATATGATTATTAATTTCTGTAATTTGTGATGTTTTGTTTCGTTTTTGTTTGATTTGGTTATATTCTGTTTGTGTGTTTTCGATATCATATTAAAAAATGAACACAAAAACTTCGGTACAGGTGTTCAAATGTAAAAAGGATAAGAAAAACATTTTAAAACAGTGGGTGTAACTGTACTGTCCTTGCCATCTGTGCATAGTGCCAAATCCTGACTGTTCCGCTGGATAAAAATATATTACTTAAGGCTAAGCGTTTTGGGAACCGCAAAGAAGTGTATTAGGTATATATTCTGAAGCGGACGCCTTTCGGCATCTCACTAGATCCCTCACAAATATTTAACATTGTCGGAAACGTTTTTTTAATGGTAAGTCCAACAGCTATGTATTAACTCTTGCATCCCGACTAATACAAAAATATATTAACTGGATGCAACACGTTTCATTGTTTCTACCCCCAATTCACTGAATGTTCGGAAAAAAATATTTTTGTAACGAAACAACATCCGAGTGTATGTACCTAATGTTGATTATGAAATTATATAGACTTAGAGGTATACCCAAGATACATATGAACATACGCGTCAGTTCTGTATAGATAGTATTATAGATACTTATTAGATATGTTAACTTCTTTCTTATTTGCGTGTTCTTGTTAATGTGTGGGTGTGTCAAAGTTTCAGTGTAAACTTGTATCTTGGCAAAATAATGAAGCTAGATACATTTGATATTAAGTTAAGGATTACATTGTTTCTTGTCTTGCATAACGGCACAGAAATCGAACACAACAATAAAATGTATGCTCTGAGTCGTGTTGTGACAAGCAACTGATAATTACCCCGAATTCCATCCACAGGGCATCCACAATGCTGCCCAGAACGGTGATTAGATCGAATATGTTCCAGGGGTCCTTGAAGAAATTCTACAAAGCCATCAAATGGAATCATGTTATTCAAAATGGCAGTTAATAATATGATTAATATACTAAATAGTTAAACTAAATCCTATCTATCCCAAAAGACAAGAAGTGAAGAACCTACCTTAACACCGAATCCAATGATTTTAAGCACAGTTTCTACACTAAACATTCCAGTGAATCCCATGTTGATATACTTCAGTGACTTTTCGTACATGTCTCCCTGATTATGATACTGTTGGGATTTAAAATGGATTTATAATTTATATACACAAATTATACATGTTCTGTGACAAGATCTTTAGTGTAGATCACATATTTTCCGATATATGCAAGATGGCATCAGCCCACAAACTTACCTTCATCATTAACAAAAGGGTATTGAATACGATCAACATCATAATGAAGTACTCGAAGGGCGTTGAAACCACAATTCGCCACACTTTATACTTGAAGGTGTTCCGGTTTTTGGGCATATAGCGTTCGAGAGGTCGTGCTCCTATAGTAAAATCGATGCAGGATTTCTAGAGTGAAGAGAGATGTAATTATGTAAATGAATTTGGATGTCCTTTGAATTGGCGTTCGTGGCTAATTTCATTACACAATACATGTTTTCAAAGGTTAACTAACATGTGTTAACGCCTATTTTATTAATGAATTGAAATAATAACACCATTTTGGCATTTGCAAATGAGTTCACAATTCTATATACACACATTAACATCGAATGTAACTACTTTTCGATTCCAATCTAGACAAATCAAACAAAAGTCAGGACTAGGATAGGTATATGCACAGTTTTTTAAAGCAAAATAAAAAGTTCTACCCCCTTAATTAATGGCGAATACATTCATTTAACACATGCCCAATTTTAAATTTATGGTTTACTCTCGGGGTTTGTCTAAGGGATGTGTCTGTATTTGGTTTGTACTTGGAAGAAGAAAAAAAAAAACAGATTTTATCTGACTTCGAATCGGAGTTAATTTGGAACTAAAATTAATAATACACTTTTCTTACGATACTCCTCTACTGGCGGATGTTGAAGAATGCATACTTACAATCGTCTTTGAGAATGATGGACAACGCGTTTAAACAGCTTTTGGCAACTGACTTGACGATACAGATCATTAAATATTCCAAAACTAGTAGGGAATATTTAAGGACTATCGTGTGTGAATGATATATCTCTATTTTCCGGTAAATGTTCACTATTTATATCAAAATGGCTACTCTAATCAAGGAGGCTTCTAAGCAAATGTGGGGATTGGGGTCTGAAAACGTTTCGAGGCCCACCAAAATACACGAGTATCTAAGAGCGGATCTATACGCAAATATATATATATATATAGTATATATATGTAGGTAACTGGAAAGTGTTTTTGTGGGGGTGTTTGGGGGGGTCATCCACAACGAATGGCGAGAAAGCAAGGCAAACATTTCGCACATACGAGTACAAATGGAGCTAAACTAGGATTTACGTTCTTGGATTTGGACACATTCTATGTACGAGTATTTTGCTTAGTGTACAGCGTGTACTTGTTGTGTTGGAGTTCGTTGATTTACTTTGGATTCATTTTTGGAAAGTTTTCAAGTCTGTAGTAGGTAGTAGTAGTATTAGTAGTATTAGTAGTAGTAGTAGTTGTAGCTATGTCGGTAGCGGGTTCTTACGAGTTAGTGAAATGTACGTGCATATTAATAATTAATCAATTTATTAATATTTAACTTCAACTTTTTTTTTTTTTTGGGTTTTACAAATACGACTAGCGGTACATTACACAACATACACACACACACACACACATATTTATAAGCAGAGAGAGAGAGACACGGAGAAAGGTAGAGATTTGGACTCACATAGGTTTTACAGGTCGGATTGGTCTGGCTCACCTGATTTTTGTCAATTTCGCCATCTTGTAACTCAGCTTCGCCTTGCTCTTGAAACGTAATAATAATCAAGGCCACGAATATGTTGACGAAGAAGAACGGAAATACAATAAAATACACAATATAAAATATGGACATTTCGATCCGGAAATTTTGGATTGGACCCCTATCTTCATAAGTGGCAGCCATTGAGTGTTGCAAGACCCTATATATTCGTATAATCGCAGTTGAATCGATGAATGTGGTTTAGATGTGGAGAAAAAGAGGCAAAAGATATCAGTTAGCCATGTCATACATTTTGATTTTTTCATCCAACAGAGACAGATCAATAGACATAGAGATCATAGATACAGATACAATTACAGATTTAGAGAAACATAGCGGGGAAATGTACATATAGATTTATCAGTTACAACAACAAATTGGCTTACTGTGGCCATCCCTCGCCGGTCTGAACGGCGAAAAGTGTTAGCATCGCGGCGGCAACATTGTCGTAGTGGAAGGCCCGAGGTTTCCAGACCCTCAGTTCCTGTTTTGGCAGCAGTTCGTCCTCCTCGTACTTAAAGTACGAGCCCCTTTGGTTGCGTTTTTTATTTATTTTTTTTTGGTTTCGGATTTGGTTTATTTAGGGTTTTCATGTTTATTGGATGGTGTCGATGTTAGTCATTTGTGGATTTATTAATAATTTGATTGAGACTCATTAGAGAAAATACAAAAATTAAGATTGCGCAAAAAACACTAAGTTCAAACCAAAAAGGCAATGAATCAAAACTAAAGTTTGGCAAGCATCTAAAACTAAACTGAACATCAATTGGGGATTGAAATACGTTTTTACCGTTATTTTTAGTTTTCTAATTTTTTTTGTATTTTTTTATAGCTTTTGAAAGTTTAATGGAATTGTGAAATGATTTTAATGTGAAATATGTGTAGAAATCGAAGTTTTATAAATAAAAACGACAGTTAGATTTCTATAGAAACACGTACTGGGGTGCCGTAAAAATCGCTGATAATTTGGAAAAATCTGTGCCACATAATTTGTAGTATTTAAAGTTTCTTCGGTGTAAATTTACTATAAATTTACAAAAAACACGTTAGCTTGAATGCGTTTCTACTGATGATTAGGACCCGCATTTCCACACTACGGTTGATTCAATAACTTTTCTCCAAGTTCGTTGGGTAGCCAATTAGATAAGGGTTTGAAGAAATTTTTTAGACACCCCTGGTAGAGTTAACGAATTGTAGTTATATTCTTGTTTTTCAGTTGGTGGATGGTAAGTCAGTTGTGCAAGAAGCTGCTGTCATATCTAAATACTGCATTGACCTTGTACGAGTAGGCAATTTGACTTGGAAATAGATTCACGCTATGGCCGAGATCAACTCAACCCAAATCAACACTCGGTACGGTCTAAATAAGAAGGCGTACAAATAAAGAAATGTTCGAAAATCACTACATACAAAAAAAAATCTAAGACCATTACCAGTAAAATGGATGAATGGAAAATACTATGGGTCGATTTGGAGCTGTGGATCAAAAGTTTGGCTCCCTTTTTCTGGGGTTACGTGGTTCGGCCCGTTGTCGGTTCGGTGATGTGTAACAAAGCAGCTGCGCTCTAATGATTGAGATCTTATCTTGGATTCGAAGAAACAAGGATAATGTACAAATACCAGGGAAAATGTATTTTAAAATCAAGCTATCCGGCGAAATGAGCAGACTTTGTTACTTTTTTTAATGACCTGATGGGTGAAGCTACCGATAGCTTTAAGTGTTAACCTCGAACCGATATGAAATTTTGGGCGAATTTTCTAGCAATACAAAACATATTATTATCAAGGGGTACTTTGTGTACCTTTATCAAGACCTAGTTACACAAAAAAAAGTTTCATCACTGGCGGCGTAGAGGCGTGAGTGTAAATGCTAGTGGGCGTTGAGATGTACGTGTACATATGTATTAAGATTTTGAGTAAATTTTTATTGGATTTTATTTGGTTGTCAATAGGGTTGACCACAGTTATTGCATACGAAGGCCAAACAGCTAAAACAAACCGATACTCTATGGCTTTTAATAAATCGTTGAACGTCCCTCGGGTGCAACGTAAGTATCGGGCTTTGTTTTCACTTCTTAACAGCGTCGAGTGTAAGATACGCGGTGTTAATAATATAATACATAATGATACTCTTTATACACACATAACTTGGGAAAGAGCGCTCGTCATCTAGTTGGATATAGTCTACTACAAAATGGTTACGATTCCTACGATAGCACTATTCGTACAAACCGAAAACTTTTTCTGTTATATTGGTAGTTATATTTATACTTGAACATACAAATAATGAAGTGTATGTATGGATGATGGCTAGATATAAAAGGATACACTTGCTACTTGGTTTGGAGAAAAATTTATAGAAAAGAAAGTCAGGACCTTGGACCAGAAATGAAATTTTAACCATACTGTAGTTCCTTCGTAAGGAATTGGGCCTTAAACATTGAAATATCAGAGCTGAGTTATTGAATGAAACCTGTTTGTATCTAGTTTTCTAATCTAAAACGGTCCGTGGACTGCTATGCGCGTGCTTATTAAGAAATCTTCTGGTAGTAATATGGACTCTTTGGTATTTGGAGAATACCCAATTGCAAATAAATGAAACATTCAAATACAGATATAATTATGGTTTAAGTACACAGGCTAAACGCGAAGAATCTTGCTATTTCCATTGGTGTTTCCCGAGCTTTGGTTTGTGAATACAACATATACAAACATACACTGATACGGCTTAACTGATTAAATATATATATATAGATAAAACAATTATAGAAAATTAGGCGTAACTGGTAAGGTTTTTCAGGTGGTAACTAGAAACTGTAAATTTGCATTTCTATATCACAGATGTTGAATCGAACGCATTTTCTCTATATTTCATATGCTTTTTATCAGTCACTTTTTGATTCGGTTGTATTTTTTTTTTCTTTTTCAATTTTTGTTTATGGTTAGTTTTCGTTTTTCCTCTTTTATTGTGTTGTTTTTGGCCCGTTTAGTCGCGTGACTGTTAATTTAACAAGTCAGGCAAGAAAAACATGGCAAGAAACTATAAAATGCTACTCTTACATTCTGTTAAATCAGTGCACCTTTTTTGGTTTCATGAAAACAAATATGGTAATATAACAAACAGAAGGATAATAATAATGTTTGGGTTAACAAAACAATCGTACAACACACATACAAAACAGGGAATGGGTCTGGAAACTTATATCCTAATTGCTCTCTATTGGGACCACTTTAGATTGATGCATACACGTAGGCACATATATATATTAATAGGTATATACACTAGGGGAAATAATCTAACAAAAGCCTTTCCTGCTTTCTGTATTTAACATTCAGTATTACTGGTTCCAGTAACAAAACCCAATTAGAGGTTAAAGGAAAGTTGTTTTCTATACTTTCTCGGAGTTTTAACCTTAAAAGGAATGCAAAATTTGTATGCAATGGACACACAAAATCAAAACATAACAGCTAGACATTTATGTATTAGAAGGTATAGAAGTGTTGTGTAGGCGAAGCACCCCTAATAAATGCAGCTGGCCTGAAAATAGCAGTATGTCATCCTCCCATCTCCTTAAACAGTAAGTTGTCTCACTTTTTTTGATTTACATCTTCAACAGTTGTGCAATATTTTGTAAGATTAGACAATATTGAGTAGGAAATTAAAGGAATATCAAACGTTTTTCTTGTTAATTAGCCTCTGTAAGTAGGCAACACGTAATAGCATCTACATTTTCCTTTACGTATCTTATTTTATCACTAAACCTAACATAAATCTCTAAACACAAATACATAGATCAAGTCAATTTAAAAAAAACTGTCTTAAAAACATTGTTTACTCAATTTAGCTCTACTTTTTTTATTTAAAACATTTATTATTATTTTATTTTCTACAATTTCTAGTTAAGTCTTACAAACTAACGCACCACTGATCAGTTAAAAATAAAAAGAGAGACAACAGAGTTTTAAAGGTGATGGAAGAAGGTGGTACTAATATCTTGAACATAGCTATACATGTACGTGTAAAGAGCCCAGAAACATATCGGGAGATGTACGTACGAGTGGGTGAAATGTGTGTTTGTTTCTTTCCAAATCTAAGAGCTACGCAATGTACATATGTTTCGAGGTTTTGTCAGTCATCTATTTATATTATTTGACCTTAGGCAAAGAAACACACAAAGTTAGCAAGAGAGACAGATAGAAAGATAGTCATAGAGAGCGTGTTTGTGGGAGAAAGTGGGAAAGCTAGAGCGCTACAGAGTAACGCGACTATACGAGTAAAGAGGATTAAATGATCGAGATGGCACATAAATCAAGAAACCTAAAAGAGGTCACTACGGCAGGACAATAATTATGTGGCTTCTTCGCCGGAGAGTCTTATTGCAAAAATGATCTCAATAAAATTAAAAACAATATGACACAACATTTGAAAATCAGGTCTAATTAAGATCAAGATAAAGATTACGAAGAACTTAAGAAAGCGAACGAATAAACAGTTTGTAAACTTGAATTAAATATAAATGTTACTTACTGGCACTCTGCGGAAGTATGTTTACTTTCGTCCGTACAATAAAAAAATTTTCCATTGAACAATTGTACTCCAATAACAGAAAATATAAATTGAAACAATATGTACACGATTAGAATGTTAACAACATTTTTCAATGAGTTCACGACGCAATCGAACACGGCTTTCAATTTTGGTACACGCTTAATGGTCTTCAATGGGCGTAGGACACGCAATACCCGAAGCGATTTAATAGTCGATAAATTTTGTCCAGCGCTGCTACCGCTCATATCGAAACCGAAACTAACAGCAGCGCATATAACGACCACAGCATCCATAATATTCCAGAATTCTCTTAAATAGCTGCCAGGGTGCAGGATCACACCCAAGTCTACAATTTTCAGCAACATTTCTATCGTGAATACGCCGGTAAATGCATAATCGAAATAATTCAATATCTTGTTTCGCCTTGAGTTCTCACGAACGGGATCTTCGGCTGCTAATGCTATTGATGACATTGAGATGACAACCATAATGAAGAAATCAAAATATGGTAAATTAACAACCCAATGGGCTCCGCGTCGTATGCTGTATAAGTCGTGCGTAATTCGTAATTCGTTTTTCGTTTTTTGATATTTCGAATTCATCGGACAGCGAATATAGGTTTAAAATTGATAAGTTGGTAATTGAGTGGTTTCGATTCATATATTGGTTTAGACATGTAATCAATTAGGATCATGATCATATTTTTGCATTCGGGATTGCGTCAAATTCGGTTGTATTTTTAGTTTATATATTTTAGTTTTTATAATTTTTGATTTGAAATTCGGTTTTGTGTAGGTACAATTTTAAATATTTTTGTAGAGTTTTCAATTTTTTGATTCCGATTGTAGTTTACGCATTTTGGTATTGTTTTTGGGCACCCGTTCATATTATTGAATTGGTTGATGGTTTTACATTTTTGTCGTCGTTCCAATTCGTATTGAATATTTTAAGTTTTTATTTAATTTTTTCGGTTGTTTCAATTTTGAGATGAAGTCGTTGTTTATGATAAATTGTTATCAATTTCGTTTGGTTTTTTTTTGTTTTGTTAAAAGTGTCGATGATTTTGTAACATAATTATTGCAGTTTTTCATGATGATTTTGTGGTGGTGGTTGATGGTTGATGATTGAAATAATTGTAGTCGGATATTGTGGTTGAATATATTTACAAGCACATGTTAATTCGTTCAATAGATCAAGTGGTTCATTAATTTGTTTGGTTGTGTGCAACATAAGATTGTAATCCAAAACAGGAAAAAAGGTAAAAAGAAAAGAGTATTGCATCAGTAATTGATTAAGTTGTACTACAGTTATTGTAGTTCATCAGATATTTTTTAAATGTCATTGGCTATGAATGATGGTAAGTAACTAGGATAGGATACTGTACAAATAGGGTAACGATTATTTCTACAAGACCCAATATAACTGTTCAAACCCTTGGACGGGATCATAACTACAAAATGATTAAGACACCATAGAAAAGTGGTATTAGAGAATTCCAGACGCTCTTTGTTCTCTCCTCCCTTGCCAGCGGGAGGTTAGGGTCCTGGAAGAGACTCGATTAACTTAACACTAGGATGAGGCCCTAACTGATCGCACTACGAGAATGACCCTGAGACCCATGAGAAATGGATGGCTGAGTGAGTGAAAGAATATTTACGGATTGGTTGGTGAGAGTATAAACATCGATGAGTAGGGCAACATCGGCTTGGGACCCTCCGTCACTTCCTCCTCCTCTTTCTTCTCCTCCTCCTTCTTCTTGCCCTTGGACTTGGTGGGGGCCACAGCACCGTCGCCATTCTCCACATGAACACCGTCCGCCTGGAGGGCCTCCATCTCCTTCTCGAGCTCCTGCAGTTGTTTCTCTTTATCCTCTTCGACTTGTTCCTCTTCGGCTGCTGTAAGTTCTTGGGCATTCGCCAAATTATCAACGGCGATAGCCAAGAACACATTCAATAGCGTGTAATTTCCGAAGAGTACCAAAACGATAAAGTATCTGTCGAAAGAGCATCAAGAACACACAAAAAACAATCAGAGTTTAAACACTCATTGCATTATCTTAATTTTGGGGCATTAGCTCAGGAGAGGAACCTCCTCGATGGTATGAAACTCAAAATATACGTCAACGTGTGCTGGGGAATTTTTAAAAAACGTAATCGGGAATTAATTGTACTGCAGAGTGGTTTGTTTGTTTGTTTGATTGGATTGTTTGAGAACTGAGGCAACTACGTTTAGTTTGAGAAACTCTCTTTCTGTTGAATTGCTGTAAATAGAGAGATGAGATTGAGAATAGACAAAGGTATAGCGTTTAATTGAGTGTACAGATTCATTTTTAAAAGACCAAAGGTTCTCTACACTTACGGATTAGTGGGTATTCGCGATGAATGATCGTTAGTGGGTTGCTTGATTTGCTGTTTCTTGGGACTTGGGCTTGCAGAATTTTGGTGGATAAAATTCTTCAAGCTCCCAAGTCAAAGGTCGATTGCACACATTAATGGTTCGACGTTCAATGAATTGCGAATTCGCTTGGTGACATTTTTTTGATTACTATATTTCTTTTTTGTTTTTTGAGGGGGGGTTGGAGGACGGCAAATATAATCATAATCCTAACGAGTGGGCCAAGATCAATAGGTTTTTCCATTGTGCGTTTACTACGTTTACTTGTACGTTTCGATTTAGAGTACTGGCATACATACAATGCACATGATAGAATGATACGTAATACAGACATAAACTTACATAGAGTAAATCATTCCTTTCTGAGCACCACCCTGAGATATGATGCCCTGGTACATGACCTCGTTCCAATCTTCACCAGTGAGGATTTGGAATACAGTCAACAGTGCTATCGGGAAAGTGTTAAAATTGGTTTCGGGCGTGCCTCCTGGCAGATTGAACTGGCCGCCAAATAACTGCATGCCAAGTAAGGCGAATATGAGGATGAACAAGAAGAGCAGGAACAACAATGAGATGATGGATCTCATCGAGTTCAACAGAGAGATGACTAGATTGCGCAGCGACGACCAGTACTTGGTTACTTTGAAGATGCGGAGCAATCGCAGGGCACGCAGCACAGACAGACCGAACGAACCGCCTTTGACCTCGGACCAGATCACTTCGAATATCGAACCACTAATGACAACGCAATCAAATCGGTTGAACGACGACTCAAAGTAGATGCGTGGTCCCAACGCATACATCTTGATGAACATTTCCGACATGAAGAGTCCCAGGAAGATGAATTCAGCATAGTCTGCAAGGGATTTTAATAAGGATAAGAAACAATTCTAGTAAGATAACCCCTCACTATACTTACAGAGAAACTCCGTGAGGAACGAGGGCTGGCCGTAATGCTCGACGGCTACGCAGACCGTGTTCAGAAAGACGAGGACTATCACAAACCAGTAGAACCACTGCGTCTTCACCGTGTGCCGGATCCAGAAACGAAACCTCTTCTCCGCCCGCCAAAATCCGGTACAACTTCCTTGAGGTTTAGAGCGAGTTTTCAGATAACCTACAGAGAGCACAGATAAACAATCCATTAGATTGGGGGTTCCTTGATCATGTAGCAGTGCGGTTACAAATATCTCCACCTATGGTTACAACCAGGCAAATGTTGTGTACACTGCTCAAATACGAGTGCATTTCAAAACAATTTCAAACAGTTCTTGGTAACAATCAGCATATATCCCTTTCGAAATGATATATACTTCTTGTCCTCTTCGGGTTTGAATTGCACTGTTGCTATAAAAATTAATGTACTCAAATATATGATTTTAGCGATAAAGAGTATGGTTTACTAGTTGTTAAATAGACGACGTTTACACAAGTGCGATTCTTATATATTTTTTGGGTGGGCACTATCTCTACACAGACGTTACTTAAGCTCGGCTGGCTGAAGTCCATATGAATGCAGTCCTGAAATATTCTATCTATGGTGATTTTTATAAAATTAGAATGGTCCATTAGTCGGCTTCCCATCCTCACTATCATCATGTTTGATATTAAGCTTTAATCTTTGAACTGTATTTCAGCGCATTGATCATACAAATAAAGACTTCAATAAATCGATGAATTAATTTTTAGATTTCATATAACTAATATTTATGAAGGACCTATATCCCAGATACATCCAAGTCTACCGTAGAAAAAAAAAGTACATCTAATACCAACTACTTTCTCATATTTACACAAGTGAAAGCTTTACATAGATTAAATTTGTTGCTTTACGATGATAATTTCTATTTATTTGGGTAACGATTTAAATGGGGCTGTTACTATCTGGCGCCAGTGCAGATTTTTCACTTCGTGAAACAATAAATAATAATTTACTTACACATTTGGAACATAGTCAATGTAAGATTTACAATTTCGTTTTGTTGTAGTAAGTTCAAATATAAAAATAAAAAATGTAATTAATTGCATATCGTAATTGCCTTAAATGCAATATATCATAGGGGTATCCTTTTAAACTTAAAAGTCTATTATTCGTTGCAGTATGGTTAAAACCCAAGATTAACAATATTCTGTTGAACATGTGTTAATGTTGGTTTTTCGTTCAACCCCATTTGGCGTACTTGCATTTTTAGACAGTTCCTTGAGAATTTAGGAACCAAAAGTCTTTTGCGTTATGCAATGTTAGTTATAGACCCCAGTTCTAAGGAAACTACTTAAAATGTCTTTCTTACCATCGTCACCATAATCTTCCTCGGCTTCCTCTTCTTCTGTGTCTGTGGACTTGGACTTTCCCAAGCTTTTCAGCTTTTTCCGCTTGGCAGCGTTTCGTCTACGAGCTATAGGGATAATTTCAATAAATTAAATTGGTATTATAATCGAAATTTGATTAGACTTACCCTCCATTATGTGCATTTTTTCTTCTTCCGTTGTTCGCTCCTCGGCTAGTATTACCTCCTCTGGAATAACACCAAAATCAGGTGATTGGTAGTTGGTCACAACAAGTAAATCGATTTGATCAACACATAAGCAGAAAGGATATATATGTGCAGTAAAGTTTATGTAGTAGGTATGTGTTTATATAGTGGGGAGGTATGAAGGATCTGTGTCCATATTTCCACGAGAACTATTTTATTTCAGAGTATATTCAGGAATTTATTTACTTTAATTTCGGTTTAAGGTTTTGGTTCTATGAGGTAGGGGAAGCTAAAGTGTGCCAAAAGTGCTGGCTATTTAGAAACATCTGAATTCAACATGTAAGTATACTTTATTTTTTGTATTAGTTTATAAATATGAACGTTTTCAAATGGGACAGGCAATATCCAGTCAATGTAAATCTTACTGAAGGGATGATATTGACGTAGAGTTTTCGAAACCTTTTAAAACAACTTCTGATATCTTAATATAAAACGAGCTGTTATAAAGCAATTTTAAAAATGGTCTTATAAGTTTCAAAAAGTTTATGAAATATTTAGCTGAAAAGTCCCAATCTTGATAGTTAAATTTTAGCTCTAAAGTTGAACGTTTTCAAATGGGACAGGCAATATCCAGTCAATGTAAATCTTACTGAAGGGATGATATTGACGTAGAGTTTTCGAAACCTTTTAAAACAACTTCTGATATCTTAATATAAAACGAGCTGTTATAAAGCAATTTTAAAAATGGTCTTATAAGTTTCAAAAAGTTTATGAAATATTTAGCTGAAAAGTCCCAATCTTGATAGTTAAATTTTAGCTCTAAAGTTGAACGTTTTCAAATGGGACAGGCAATATCCAGTCAATGTAAATCTTACTGAAGGGATGATATTGACGTAGAGTTTTCGAAACCTTTTAAAACAACTTCTGATATCTTAATATAAAACGAGCTGTTATAAAGCAATTTTAAAAATGGTCTTATAAGTTTCAAAAAGTTTATGAAATATTTAGCTGAAAAGTCCCAATCTTGATAGTTAAATTTTAGCTCTAAAGTTGGGGGAACCATAAAGTAACCCGGGTCTGTATGTCGGAATGTATCTCGTTTTAGAATATATACATATGGATATTTATGTGTGGATGAATATGGGGTGAGTAATGTAAAAATTTTGTGTGTTTTTTGAATATTTGTGTATGAGAATTATTTATGAATTTAATCATAGTAGGTGTATATATAGATTTACAAACAAGAAATAGGGGTAAATACTATACCAGCTTTACAAATCCATTCAACATAGCCGTTTAACTCTCTTTCTAGTTGCTGCTGCCTTCTAAGTTTAAGAAACTCTTGTCTATTTTCTACTTTTTCTCGTTCTTTTGCGAATTCACTACAAAAAATAATTAAATAGAACGTGATAAACCAAAAAACAGGATTGATTGATTGCTAAAACGATCATGTATGCTTTGGTATTTGGTAATACAATAGCAAAGTTCACACCATACTTTCGTCATTGTTTTGTAGGAGTGTAATCAACCGAGGAGAATTGAATTTAACCATAAACCAAAAATCAAACAATATTTCAGTGCATTCGTAAAAACACACGACAAACGGGCATAAACCGAAAAATCAAAAATATATTTACTTGAAATTAGGAAGTAACAGAAGTACAACTTAAAATATGTATATATATATCATTTTTTTTGGCGTTGGAGAGCGCCTCCCCGACGAGACCCTTCATTTGAGGTCAAAAGTCAAGGAAACATATAGTATAAGAAGGGAATGTGTAAGATTATATGTGTGCATACAAGCATATATAGGATGATTTATTTGGTGGCGACAAATAAATAAAGTACGCATGGGATGATGATGCCATATAGCGTCATCGGGATTCCAATAACTCTGGCTTGGCCCTGAATTTCGCTGGGAGTCACTGAGTCTAGATCGATGATACATTGATGGCGATACATTGAATAAACCGGGGACAGAACACTGATATTGATAGGTGGGTGCACTGGTAACAGTGTATATAGTGTTTTTGGGGGGTGTATATGGCCAAGAGATCGAGATCTAGATCGAGGACAAGACCGAGACTCAACAACATTTCACGACTCCGCTGGCGGGGAATGTACATATATGTATATAACTGGAGGTTAAGATGGCTAACTTTAGTAGAAACAGCTAGTTTTGGTTAGTTTGGTTTAATTAGGCTGGAGGGAATTCAACTTTATCGCTATGGTAAGTAGTAAGAATCGGGTAAAGTTGGGGTAAAGTTAAGTGTGTGGCAAAATGCAGAGAATATATTACGCAATACGCACTGGAGAGTATATATGGATTCGATTATTGTTTTCGATTGGTATTGGTTGAACTATAGTGGGGTGAACGGCATTTCGCAGTTAATATTAATAATATTCGGTTCATTGGAAGTTGTTGTATTATTTTGATTGATAGTAAGTAAGTTTTGGGTACCAGAACTCTTTGTAGCCGGGGAATTGCTTGCGATCTATTTAGGAGTACATAACTAGCAGTAAATCAAACAAGTTCTTTATAAATTGGGAAGTATAGGTCGGAGTTTGCTTTTTTGGTTGTTTAATTTGATGGGTGTTTAATTGTTCAATGAACTCGCTCGGTTTCGATAGCATAAACCTAAGTACGAGTTGACTTATTGTTCTGTTTTTCATTTTTTGGCCGATAATAAGTTGTTATATATTATTGCAGGTTGTGTTGTATGACGTTCGGGTTGATTATGGCAGTTTACTTGGTTGCACTTAGATATAGATCTAGTTGTATAAACCTGCTTGTGTGATCCAGTCAAGGTACGAGACCATTGCTGTCTGAAACATGGCCCGAAAGCGGCATTTCTGAAACTCCATGCGACGTTCGACACGATTTCGTTCGTTCGAAAACTCTCTGAATTCGGGAATACGATAGTTAAATGCATTGAACAGAATTCCGAAAAAGAACCGAACTGAAGAATGCAAATCAAAATGAAAGTATCTCAAACACGTACATACATATATTTCAATGGTCTGTCCTCAGGGAAAATTTCGAATAATTTACAGCCAAATTGACTTTATTTCGCACCCTGTATGAGCATGCTCTACGTAAACCGATATATACATATGTATAATCTGGTTGGACACTCTTTTTTTTCTTTACAATTTATCTTTACAAGTATTATTGACAAAAACTCCCGAAATATTAAAATTTTCTAAACATATGTATGCAGTATTTTCAAAACCCTTTTTTTCTTTTTTTTTTAACGGAAGTAATCAAATGATAAGAAGAAGAAATGTGAACTGGTGTATAAATGGCTTCATCGATAAATAAAGCGTTTCATGATCAACTTACCCACTAAGGACACCAAGAACTAAGTTGAGCATAAAAAATGAGCCTATAACTATAAGAGGCACGAAATATATCCAATTAAATGCTGAACCTAATGCGTCGTTGGTCTGTAGAGGAGAAAAAAAATTATTGGGGAATCACAGGATATTACAAAATGTGATCACTGGCAAATATAAGTAGTTTCGATCACTCACCCAATACAGTATTGACGTCCAGCCCTCCATCGTGATACATTGGAATACGGTCAACATGGCAAATCCGATATTATCGAAACTCGTGATACCTGAATTTGGTCCATCCCACTTTTCCAGACACATGCTCGTGGTGTTGTTGCATACAAAGGAGCCTGTTGCCTTTTCCGTGCTGTTGTCCGTGTTGCAAGGCGTCTCTGATTCGCCCTCCTTCACTAGTTTGTCTGCTCCAAGAAAAGCGGAAATCATTAGTCCTTACAGTTCCCTAGCGAATGGTATTTGATTTGGGAATATTACTTGGATCTTCTAAGCTATAACAAGTCTTATGCAGTGCGCCCGAATAAAACTCGAGTCCAATGATTGCAAAAATTACGATTGCAAACAACACCAAGAGACCGATTTGCAGTAAAGGTGCCATCGCCTTGATTATAGATTTTAAAACTACTTGTAAACCTGTAGACGTTGACGTTCATCCGATCCAGAGTTAAATGTTTGGTTGGTTGGTTAAAGAAACGGGACGTTGGATTAGCAAGATCAGAATGCTAGGGGATGTGTTCACATTTAGGACATGGTTGTCACAGACAGTTTCGCAGGCTCTACGACAACCATGTGCCACAAACAACCATTCTATTCAAAAAGAGTACGTTCAAAAACAAAATCGAAACTAAGTGGTGGCAGAAATGAAGGCTCTTGTATCACTCACACGAACTAGATTTAGATAAGATTTATGGGAAATAAATGAAAATTTAAAAACACACTCTCGCATTATGATACATTTACACGTCTTGAGCGATCATAATCACAATCGCTGATTGAATTAGGATTAGAAAAATAAATAAAGAAAGACAACAACGACAACGAGAAGAAGTTGGGAAAGTAGAATAAAACAGAGGAACTACTCACTAGGAATTCCAGACACTAATTTTAAGGGCCGTAGCACACGAATGGCTCTAAGTGTTCTTAGGTCTACCTCGGGCCCTATTTGTGGGTACTGTGTCATGAATCTGTTTGCAGACGTTAAGCGATCAAAATGAAGTTATATATATAGATTGATTAGCGATACTCAATGAATACAAGATCAAATTATCATAGTCAGATAATCGTAAATTAAGAGTGAAAATCAAGAGTTTACATGTATTTGTATTGTGCATCTTAAATCGAAACTTAAATCGAAAGCAAAAAGCAACTAAGAAATTTAAGAATTTAAACAATCAAATTAAGTAATCCAGAGTAACGTTTAACGCGCGGTTAGTTCATATTATTCGCACACACAATGGGTAACCCAAGCGAAAACGCAGAATAGTTTATCTTTGCTCTCGGTTCCGAACACTTTCATTAGGATTCTCTAGGATAAATGCAATATTTTAGAGAGCAAACATAAACTATGGTATTGGTCAGCTATGGAATAGAATATAATTTAGATATACATATCTATTTAAGACTATAATATATAAAATCTAACTCTTGCTTATAACATACACACCGCTTATAGTATTATACAGTAATTTAGGTAATTAATCCTTTCAATCCATTTCACTAAGTGACATTTGTTGAAAAGATTCTAATTAAATATAATCGTTGCTAATTTAATAAATTTACTCTCTGGCATTGTGTTTAACACAAAAAGAAGGTCTATTGAGTAAATAAAAAAATCGAATCTCATAATCTATGTATGTGCCAGCTATTATCGAATATCAATAATATAAACTATTATCCTACCACCTTTTAAGGGCGTAGTTTAATGACTTGCAAGATACAATCTATTTCGAATGAAAACGAAAGTCCTGATCTATTACTCTTAAGGCTAAAGGACTTTCACATTATCGTCACTGCATAAGATTAACATAGATTTATATAGCGCGTATAACTTACATGGTATTCTATTAGTCTTTTTTTGGTAAAAATAAAAAATGATAAGTTGACTTGACTAATACTACAAAACATAAAAAATATACAGCGATATAAAGATATAATTCCTCTACGTGTTAAGTAATTTTTTTTAAGTTCTAAAGATTGTAACTTTAACATTTCTTGAGCATGAATAAATAATCTACCGAGTGGTAGCAACTTCTATAGCACACATCGGTAATTTTAATATTTCACTTTTATAAAAGATATACGATTGTGACAATGTGTTTGATGTGCTAAATTTGTGGCTACCACTGTACATAAACGCATTTATAAACAATACTACAACGAAACACTTAGTTTCCATATATATAATGTTGCATCCTACCGATGCTGTCTAAAGTTAAGTAATGCTAATCATATTTGTTTTATGTAGAAAATTTAATAATGATCCAGAGTGCTAGCTCATTAACTAATACTTCTAGCTAAGCTTCCGCTTTATCTCAATTTTTTGGGAAAGAATTTAAACTATTGTATAATAAAAACGGAAGCAAGACCTATAATCTAAGTGACACAGAAGTTTTTATAGTTACTACTTAATATATAACTAATTAGTAAAGTCACAGACTTTGACGATTTTAGCATCTCTATTTCGTGGCTCCTTCCAAATTTAGATCTGTTAATTCCGTTTCTTGCTACTCCTAAGATAACATTAACTAGCCAATGCTTTTGAGTGTAATTTGTTAAATAAACATATATGTTTAAATGGTTTTACTGAAGAAATCGTTGTATAATCTGGCCTAGGTTCTGTTAATAGCAACTAAGATTCGCTTGATGGCAGATGTCTTACTTGGAATTCGGGATACGAGCTTCAGTGGGCGTAAAACACGAAAAGATCGCAACATACGCAGGTCAACGTCTATATTGGCCTCAGCAAATATCGTCATGGCTCTGTTTTTGGTCATTTCGAATTCGTTATTTGCATATGAACATATGGGAGAAGTTGTTATTAAAATCGCTTACTTAAGTTACATTCATAGTATTTAATTTGGGAATAGTTTTATCCGACAGTTTTTACCTCGAATTAGAAACTTAGATACTACATACCTAACTTAATATAATTTATATAGGTAGTACATTTTTTCCAACTTAAAACTATTTAAAAATTGTTAATATAAATTTATTTTTGGTTTCCCTAATCATAATGATTCAGCCTATAAGAAAATGATTATTTTCCAGTAACTTTTTCATGGGATTCATTATGATTAAGATGTGGGTACACGTGAATTTTGGTTGGATTGAACATAAAATAAAGCTTGCACGGCGTGGTTGACTTAAGTGGTTTTTCAATACGATATTATTTTTCATTCAAAATTAAAATGTGCATGTGTAGGGATATAGTTCATTATTTACCCCGTAACTACAACGAAAAAATCCATGATGTTCCAAATATTCCTGAGATAGGAGTGTTTATGCAGAACAAGCCCTAAGGCGAGGATCTTGAGCGACGCTTCTACACAGAAAATGCATAAAAAATAGGCCTCCGTTTTTTCCTAATGGAAATGTGACCCAAAATAGAAATCAGTATCAGATGTGTACGTCGATTGGTCGAATCGGATCGGATTTTTGGACCGTGTCTTACCAATTTTTGAGCCAATACTGTCTTGTCGCCCCCCGGCAAGTGCTCCTCTAGCGCCAACACAACACAGTTGGCTATGATTGTCAATAACACAGCGTATTCAAAGGGCGGCCATTCTATGATGAATCGTGTGTACTTTCTAATTGGGTTATCCTCGGTTAGAATAAACAATGACGTCGGACCACCACCTGGTGGGTTTTCCTCTTTTTTCGGGCCACCCATTCTATCAGCTAAGCGATGGGCTCCCTTTCGACCCAAGTGCCCCCCGCCTAAGGAGTCCTGTTGATGCTCTGCTTGCACTACTTCCTGAGCCGCTTCCAACCTGTGTGGGAGAAGGGAAAGGGGTCAAAATATTGATGTATGCATTTCCCAACCGCATTCTAGAGTAACTCAACTTTTGCATTTAAATAAGTTTGTACTACGTTGGTTTATGCGAAAGTAATCGATCAATATATACAATTTAGATAGCCCCCTTAGCAAAAGTTATGATTAATGCTATCCATTGCTAACCCCGATATTAAGTCTTGAAAGAATGTACTAAACTAACGTATCTCTTAAAGATTTTAGGAAAATCCGATTATTTTCTGATGAAATCATGAGGATTTCTGATCATATTTTTGACCCTATATGGGTGCTGTTGCCCAATAACTCAACCATTCGGATTTGGATTTCAAAAAGGCGTTAAATTGCCTCATTTAAAGCATTCAAATGTTTGTTTTGAGTGATGGTTCATTTGTTAATTTATTCTATTTCCACAGTTGGCCTGCAAAAATATAAGCCAAGTATGTAAAATCTTATAGGAAGGACTTTAATAGTTGTTAATATATCGATGAATTTAAACATTGGTTACACATTGGGCAAAGTAATCGTTCTCGTAGTGATTTTACTGATTTTACCATATGATAATAATACGCATATGACGTGTGGGTTTATAAAACATACCTTCGATTTTCAGCAACGTTTTTTTTTATTGTTCAATATTGATTAGCCTAATCCGTAAAATGTTTTTAAAAATGTATTGCTTGAGTTGCACAGAAGGACTATATATTGAGTAATATGCCTTCATGTAAATACATTAAAAAACTAAACGAATTTACGCAGATTGACCTTTAAATAACAAATTTCTATACCTTCTTAATGCGGACAAAATATTGTATAGCTGTTATATCAATGACTAAAGCAAATATTTACGATTCAACACTGGTTATAACTATGTGAAATTGTCCATCCCTTGAATATTTGCGGTCTATACCACTAATTGTTATTTAATATTTAAAAACGTTTAATATAGCAATAGTTCCGATGGTTTACCATCGGCATTCATTCTATTTTTAATAAGATGGGGGCACGTACCGTCACTGTATCCAATTTCTGATACTTTTGTAACGACCGCTCGGCCATAATTATATTAAACAAGGTCAACCACAATACGCATTTGTCGGGAGTGACACGCCGTCCGTATGGAACGATAGCGGCAACTGGACATTTAGCTCGCGAGTCCGATAATCTGTTGCTAGTGATTACTGGAGATTGGAGGATTCTGGGATTGGAGTATTGGAGGACTGGAGAACTGGAGGCTGGAGAACTGGAGCACTGGAGGCTGGAGGCTGGAGAATTCCGGATCCGATTCTTCCTTAACTCGCTTCCTTGGCCTTGTATCCCTCGATCGTTACTTCTCCTTTGTTTACTGATGTTTTGGGTTTACGATGTATGATGCATGTATCCTTTTGACATATTTTTCGCTCTTTGAACTGTAGTCTTTTATTATCTCTTTTTTTTTCTTCTTTAGCTTATCGGCATTACCGTGTTATTATAGCACTTAAACTGCATAGAAATTCGAATTCAATTAGATGGCATTTCAAATTGGTTGTGATTTATTTATACGGCGACACCACACACACTTGCTTTGATTATCCGACACTTGAGTTCATATTGATTGTAAAATGGTCATTATTAATGCACGGCATATGTATGGATTGTAAACGATTTCTGGTTCTGGTTTTTGGTTCTTGGTTCTTGGCACACACTTGTAATTGTACTTGTGTGCATACGAAATTGGTCAGATTCGGTAATCTGATTCCGGCCGTAGTTTCAATTGCCTGCGGTGTTGTGCTACTTATTTTGCCAACCGATAATTATGATGCGCCCGGGTCAATTCAGTTCATGACCTATTGAAAACATGCTCATACACGCGCACACGAACATATATGTATGTACATACATATATGATGGTTTTGGGGATGGGGATATGGTGCATACGAAATGCACGGCTGGTGTTATTTTTATTCCCCAGCAAGGTATGACCCATGGAAATGTGATGGAGGTCCAAAAAAAACATGTGCACTTGATATGGGTTCGGTTATGGTTATGGATATGGCTATACCGTTACAGTTACAGTTACAGATAGATGTAGTTATTTCGGTTATTGGTATAAAATTCCATTACTGGAACACGCCATGAATGAAAAAGTTAGGGGATGAAAAAGCCAGAGGCTGAGAATGATATATATATATGTATGGGTATAAGCCACCGAAAAAGCTCAATACACACACGCACACACAGAGCGTGGTGAGTTGTGAAACGGTGAGATTCCGAATTCCGACATCACTGGAAGGAATCGGGTTCCCCCATTCGAAAACTTGTTTACCTTTTCTCAAATTCTTGAATAAAAACGAGTTGTATTTGGGGCGTGTGGGGAAACAGAAGGTTCTCTATGTTTACTGTTGTGCACTGATTAGTTGACTGATATTATTAGCTGTTCTCCATCTGATAACAGGAATTGCCATTTGCAAATTTCAACTCTTCATTCCACTCACACACACACACGTACCGGCAGGAGCTCTCTCTCTCTCTTTCTCTCTTCCTCTCTGATTTCAGCAATCACTGGGTCATATCGATAACGATAACATCCCAGCCACAAATCGCTTGCCTACTTTTAAGGGCCCAGTAAATCTGGTTACATTTACATATTAATTAACTTTCGACTTAATTGAAATGGGTGTTGAAGGTCTAAAAATATAATTTTATATTTCCGATTTTTCCTAGATATTTCCTAGAAACGTATAGCCACATCTCTCTTTAATCTAGTGACGTCACCAGGCAAAGTTGTCTGCCTTTTCTTTTATGTTGACGATGTTTTTGGAAAAAAGAGAGTACGAGAGTACGGGAATGGTAAACGGGCAGAAGCTATATATATCTGTATGTATTATCGGGCGACAGTAGGACCAACGAACCTGTAATTGCCAAAAATAAACAGTCATTGCCGCTCCCCTCACATTAACACAACTATTTATTATTAAGGCCGCTCTACTTTTTTGTGTGGTTGAGCAAATGTTAAATTTTTGAATAGGCCATGGGAATTACTAAATGATGTTTGGATGTCTCGTAATTCTTTAGTTACCCGGGGACACACACACACAGACCAGGCAAAACAATGTTTGTTCATATGCTCACATTCTATTCTTTATATGACCATTGTTCAAAGAACAGGGGCAAATAAATTTTTCATTTCCGTGGAGGAGAAAATATCATTCGAATTCGTATCCGGTAATGGTCTCTGTGTGTGGTAAAAACTTGAGGGGCTGGGATAATAATAATATGGGGGCTGTATGAAGTTCGGTGTTTCATTCACCTCGAAAGTGCGTCACAAAAATAGCCGCTCTGGCTAAAAAACCCGAAACTTCATATCTCCTTTTCCTTTTGCTTTAGCTTTTCCTTTTCCTTTCCCACTTGCCACATCCACATCCACATCCACAGCCACATCCACTTCCATCCACCGCAATATATAGCACCACCGACGCAACATTCCGCCCGTTGTGCTACCGACCCGCTGACCCAATCCCAGCGACTATATATATAGATATGCATATGTATATCCGTGCATGTGTGTTTGTGTGGTGCCTTTATAGAGCTTGTTAACTTAAACTTTTACAACTGGTTTTTAAGGCTAGGTGTATAGGTATTTAGTATTCAGGATTGGGACCACTTGGTGAAAACTTGGTTCTATATATAGCCGTAACACAAAAATTAGATCTGGGTGCCTGGGGAAACGGAACCCAGAGGTCGTTTATTGGCTTCAGTACGCCCGAATAATGCTTTTCACTTGGTTTCTCTTTTCTCTTTGCCATTTCTTTTTTTTCTTATTTTGCTGTCCTCGTCGCCATTGTCGCTATTTCGTTGTTTTCACGTTTTTGGACTATTTTTCTCTTTTTTTTCTTTCTTTTTTTTGGCTCGGTTTGGTTTGGATGTTTGTAGTTTTATTTTCACCACTCGACCCGAATTCGGATGCCAGCGCACACAACTTTCGAAATGTCGAATTTTCACAGCACTTATAACCCCGCAAAGCGAGCGATTGCACTTGATTTGTTAACACCAGGCGATTGGGGCTGGGATTCTGAACCGTTTCCAGGGGGCCACACAATTGCCAATTAATAGGCGTATCGGGAAAAAATAAAAAACAAAAACCGCTTTGGACGGGAGCTGTCACCACCGACTTTGTCTCACCAGTTGGACGAAAAACTCAACAAAACGCAAGACTTCAACTCGGCGACTTTGTATCACATACTACCACATCGCCAGGGCGCACACACACGCACAATGGGGAAAAATAGAAGGGAAAAAAAGAACACCAGCCCTGCGCTCTGCGTCCGCCCGAAAGCTCCACCCCAAGCTCAAGTTTAAGCTCAACTTGGCGGGGTGGACACACTGGCCAGCGAAAGCAAGCGCGAGGGCACAAGCGCATGCGCGTCTTTCAAGTCGGCCCGCTCAGCTACCGTTACTTCCGCTAATTGAGCTTTAAGCTCCGCTTGATTTTCCACCCTAATTCAACGATATCATTTAAAAAGCCGGTTCTATCGGTCTTCAGGTGCGCAACCTCAACCCAATTTACCCTTTTGAAATTATTCTACTTTATTCAAGTACACCAACTCTGCTACCCCTTTATCCACTGATTGAGCTTTAGGCTCAGCTTGCTTTTCCACCCCCAACCAACGAATCTATCGCTCTTTCTTGATATCGGTTTTCAAATACAGAGGTTTAATCGGGTTTCAGGGGCGCAACTTCAACCCACTTTACCTTTATAAAATTATTTTAATTGATTCAAGTAAATCCACTTATGAGCTTTAAGCTCAGCTTGCTTTCCTACCCCTCTTTAAGGACTCTATTGCACTTCTTCCGTGACGTTATCTTGAAAACCCCGGCTTAATGGGGTCTCAGAGGTTGGTGAAAGTTTCACCCTACATACTCACACAATATTTCTCCAAAATGATCTAAGATTTCAATACATTCTATAAAAAAGCAAATATTTTTTACCATATATGTATATGGACCTATCAACTTAAAAACTCTAGCCACCCCATCCTAAAAAAGGTTGCTATAATGAAAAAATGAATATACATATATCCTTTCTATTACACAAAGTTGTGGTCGCCGTTTCATAAAAAGCGAATAGTATTTCTTCAATTGTTTAAACATTTACCGATACAATTTCTTTGAAAAGAGGAAATGGGTATTATTAAGATCTTTTGAAGATGTTAAAGGTGCCATAACTATTATACTAATATTTTTAAGCACAAATGCTATATTGTTAAGAAAATTTACGAAGATTTTCGGTGATTATAGCTTCTAGCAGTTTCTTAAAATATTGTATGAAGATCAATCAGTGGTTTTAAAGACTTAAATACTTGAAACATTTCAAATTTCGGTATTGTAGACCTATTTACTTACATTATGTCTCCCAGGTTGGGTCTTGTCTGGACCAGAGCAAAGCTTTCCGGCGCCCGGCGCCTTTTGTTGGACCCTTGCGAGCCGTAGTGCGTGGTCCGCCGGATGACGCCATCGCCGATGATGGCAATGCTGTCATCCAGGCTGTTGATGTTGCTAATGGTCAATCGCGCCATAGGTGATGAGCCCCTTCTGCGACGAGCTCCCACTCCGCCCAGCATTCTGGTTCTGGGATTCGTTAAAACGGACTTGGCAATGCGCGAAACGTGCTCCAGATATGGCCATTTCGAGTACAATATTCACTGGCCGAAACGGTCACGGGCACAATTCAAATGGGCAAAATGGTTCACAGGTCACACGACGGGAGTGGAGATCATCGATGGATGCGAATGGATAACGAAGACCACGGGCCCAGAGCCCCCTGGACGAGATGCACCAACTGCCACGGTCCGGACGAAACTGATAGTCGTTGGGAAACGGCTGTTGCCGATGCCCCAGCAAGCCAGCAACCAAGATAGATAACCGCCCAGATGGCGATGACGACGATTGCGACTGATGACGTGCTTGATAGTAGTCAGCATATGCGCAGTGCAGGCCACCGTCGGTAATTAGGGGCCAGGTGTCCACGGGTACAATCCACTCAGACGGGCAGACCACCCACTCCATCGAGCGGCAGCTTCCTTTGTTCACGAGAGCCCTCGCGCTGATAACAAAGTCATGGTGAATAAAACTAAGCCATAGTTCATTTACATCAAACATACCTGTGATTTTCTATATCTATTTATAAACAGGATAGTAAACTCGGGGATTTAATCGAATTCTCCTTCTTTTAAGTTGAATTTAAGGATGATGTATTCTCTTGATTTCTCTGAATAGTTTTTAATAGTGTAAGAAGCCTCTCTCTAAAGAGACTTCTTTAGGCTTTCCCGTGCCATCATTTATTATACGTATTGCCTTATTGCCTTAAATAGAAATTAATATGCCGGTATCACCATTTTTCATTAGCGAAACTAAGAAAACCGTAATGGAAGATGCCCATGGGGCTATCACAGCGCTTATTTAGAAATCCCCTAGTTATCCCATACACATATCGGGTGTGCTTTTAAATTATGAAGGCTGTGATCCAGTCCAGAAACTTGGCCACGTCAGCATATATGATGTACTGGTTTTTACAGCAAAGCTTGTGACTTGTGGCACCCGGATCGGGTGACTCTGCGGCGGGCAAGGCTGCTGAAACTGTGCCGCGCAGCATCCAGCGATTGTTCCGGCGGATAAAAAGCCCGGCCCCCGAAATTCCGGTATAGAAGCTGGCACTGCTCTGGTGGCGATCTCGTTCCTCCGTCTGGATGCCAGCGCAAAAGGTTCGGTTCGAGGAGAGGCTGCGAAAGTGGGCATTGGCTCGGAAGCACTCGGCATTGCCGACCACCGGAGCCTTGACCACCTTGGGGGCACTTTGCGAATCGCTGGACTTCTTGCTCAGAGCCCCCGACGACAGCTTCTGATCCTGCGTCCTGTTTGATCTGTCAAAGCTCCAGCCAATGACGATGCCCTGCTCGCCCACAATGTACTCCGCCTTACTGGAACCAGACCACAGACAAGCAGGGCGAATGAAGGTGTTGTATCTGCATGAAAAAAATTGTACATGTAGTTATAAATTATAGAAATCAGACTCCTAAGCACCTATTATATTATTATATAAGAGTTATTTTTACCTAATGAATGGATAAGTTATTATATGCATGGGAAAAGTAGTATTTATTCTGATAAAGATAGGAAAACTATCTTGTATAGCTGGCATAGTTTTACCTGCACTGTTGCATAACCTTTGGCTTGCCGATCTTATCCTCCTTTCTTATTTTTCATACCATATACCCGACTCACCGAACTTCGTCCTTGAGCATGATCACGGCGATATCCGCATCGTAGTTGCTCAGCTGGCTGTTGAAGTCGGGATGAATGTAGATGCCATCGACGGGGGCCGCCAGAGAACCCTCCTCGTTCCAGTTCTTGAGATTGTGCCTGCCCAGGAAGACGAGCACTTCGTTGGATGTGTAACGCTTGTTGAACAGCCTAAAGCAATGGGCGGAGCTGATAACCACGCGTCCCGAGACGAGCGTTCCGCCGCACTGAAAGTCCAACGAGGTCAGGTTGTTCACATATATGGCCGCCAGCCAGGGCCAAGATCCCCTGGTGATGGACGGCAGGCTCTTATTATCATCTAGGGTATCATTCTCCTCCGCTTCCGTTTCGTCCATAAAGTGCTCCAGGCCATCATCATCCTCGTCGTCGTTATCATCAACAAAAACTGGCGATGTGATGGCATCGGAGCCAAGGACAGGCTCCAATTCCGATTCCTGATCCTGTTCCCTTCGTTGGGACAACCGAAAGTCGAGATCCCTGTCGATGCGTCCGCAAATCTCCTTGGGCGCCTGGGCAAAGGGTTTTCTACAAGATCGGGCATTAAGTAACGAATGAATGTCACCGATCGTGTGTGCTTTGAACCGACCAAAATCCAGATGCATACTTCTTGAACTGGATGTGCGCCTTGTCGTCCGTCTTCGTGGCCTCCTGCTCTGCATCCGCATCCTCCGTCTTCCCCTCGTGGGGATCCAACAGCAGGGAGCTGCTCTTATCCGGAATAAAGGACAATTTTCTGATGTGCTCCAACTGGATTTGGGTCATAAAGATGCTGTGCTCTGTGCGGGCAACGAAATGGTGGGTTAGATATGTAAGCTAGCCTAGTGATCTATATACGTACCGCCGGATCCGAAGCAGATCACATGATTGTTGGCCGACAGGAGGAGCAGTTTGGGCGGGAAGTGGTGCTTGGGAAAACGGATCTTGTACAGGACCGGTGCATTGTGGGTGAACTTGCCGCGGGTCAGTAGCTCGATTTCACCCAGATAATTCTGCGGGAGAGGGAGTCAGAGTTGGTATAGGGTAAGAACTGTGGAGTCCTGGGTGCAGGGATTCCCTGCTACCCAGTAGATCACCTACCGTTGTGGGCTTCCCTCGCATGGAGAGTGTCACCCGGATGTGGAGCGGCTGGTGGCCATCCGGACTGCGGACCGCCATCAGGCCAAACCACTCGCTTCCATCGAAGCGGTACTGGAACACCTTGGGACAGGGACTGATCGGCATCCCCTGGGCGACCGCCTTGGACACGTGCACGATGCAGAGGATCAGGATCGCCGTCAGGTGCAGCCTCATCGCGATGTCTGGACGGGATGGGATAACTGATCGGATTCGATCTGATCTTTACGGATGGAAATGGTTTTACTTCACTTCGCGGGAATGTAAACAAAATGTTTCAACAATCACGATCAAAGCTTTTAAGGCCTGGCAACACTGGTTACATTTCAAAGAAGTTGCACAGCCAGCCTTGCCAGACACAAAAAACACCCTCTGTTAATCAACATACTGTTGGAATTAACAGAATTCCGTTAATATTCAAATTACTTGTGGATGATAAGGATTTATTTGCGGAATATTGAATAAGTAGCGAAAATGACCATTAAACTATTATTGTATTTATTAAAACCTGGTTGTTTAGCATTATTAATTATTTAAAGCATGGATCATATATTTTTTTATTTTTCTTAAAAACTAATCTGTGAATAATTACAACATATTAATAAATGATCTATTTGAGGGTGAAAATATTCTTTGAAAATTATTTACACTTTACCAAAATTTTGAATTTTAGGTAAGAGGAAAATATTAGTGCAGTAAACTTTGAAAATCAAATTAAAATTTTTTATTTTTTAAATATTATGAAAGTGGAAAAAAATATGTAATAGATAACTAAATAGAGTTTATTAATGTGATCCCTTACTTTCAATTAAAAACTAAAACTACAAAAGCATTTGTTATTTTACAAGTGTATTTACAACGAGCAAATTAGAGAACGGGATTGCATGTATCAAAATCGTAATTGCTTAGGGATGCTATGAGAACTCATCATCCTCGCCGTAGCTCCAGCCGTCCTCATCGATCTCCTCGTTGCCGAAGAAGCGTTCCAGATCCTGTTCGGCCTCCGCCGGAACGGCTGATTCGGCGGTCAGCAGCTGGTCCTGATCCTCCGGACAGCCGCGGCAGCGACTCTCATTGATCCCATAGTTAAGGCAATTCCCACCGACGCACTCGCAGCATCCGTCGTGGAACCATCGATAGCTACTGGCTCCCATGCTCTCGCACTGCTGCCGGCACTTGTTCGACCGGATGCACGAGTTGACATATATCACAGTGCACTGTACAGAGCCACCATTTCCGTTTCCGGTTGCCAAATCACTTGAGCTGGAGGAGCCACCACCCTGAACCCTTTGCTTGAAACCAGCACGCATGGCAAACCGAATGGTCGACCAGGCCTCGTCATCCTCGGCCGTTAGAGTATCGAATAGCTCAGGCAATCCCTCAATATCCCCAATCTCAGAGCGTGGTGTTAACGAGGGCAGGACATCCTTGTGCTTGGGACACATGTCCAAACAGCCACAGCACTCGATATACAGCTCCCCCAGGCAATTCAGGCAATCCTTGCAGCAGTGGCATTCGTTCAACTTACACTGGCAGCTCTGGGTGATGAGGCACTTGGAGACCACCGATCCGCAGACCACCTCATTGCATCCATCGTCGTTGGCCAACGAGGGTCCAGGAGCCAATCCGGCGATCAGCAGGAGGAAGATGATGGTTTGGGATAGGAGATGCATACTGGTCGAGAACTCTGGGTCTAATGACACATTATGCATTATTGCAGCACGCCTTTATATATCAGTCTCTCAAATTTCATCTATAATCAACACACAGATGGTCAGGTAGCGATGGCTTATCCTTACCGCAATCCGCTAATCCTAGAAATCAGGTAGGGCAACCCAAAAGCCGGTTGGGTAATTTAAAACCAGTTAGGACAACAGCTAACCCTCCATAAAAATGGGCCAAATAGGGGTGGCAAAACATACATAACTTTTCGGGGCCTAGATCCTAACCTAAGCCTGTATTATGGATTCATACTAACCGCCCCAAATATTTAAAAAACCCAGATTCTAGGCCCTAAATCCTAACCGCAAACAGGTATTATTGGTTAAAGTTATAAGAATAAACATAAATATTTTTGTAAAGTTGAGTTCCCTAAAAATGTTTACCACTTTACAAGGAATTTCTATGAGCTTAACAGAACCAAAACTTTTTAATGTATTTCAACAAGTTGCATTTAAAAATTTTGACAATTGGGCATACAATTTGGTAACTAAAGAATGAATTTGGGGACTTGTCAAACGTATGGTTAGAACTATTCGGCAGGAGGATCAGCAGGAGCAGGCTCAGCCGGAGCAGGATCAGCGGGAGCAGAAGCCTCTGGTTCCGGTGCTTCGGCGGGAGGAGCTTCCTCCTTGGGGGCGGCGGGTTCAACGGTGACCACCGCCTCACCCTCTCCGGCGGGAGCTGCTTCTCCTTCCGCCGGCGCCACGGGAGCTTCGCTTTCTCCTTCGACTGGAGCCTCTGCGACGGGAGCTTCGCCTTCGACTGGAGCAGGAGCCTCGGCAGGAGCCTCGGCAGGAGCCTCGACAGGAGCCGCTGCTGCTGCGGCCTCCGCTTCCACCGACTCTCTGAGATCTTGACTCTTCTTGCTCTGCAAGAGAAATGTATTAAAACGCGAATTCTTGAGTAACTAGACAGCGAATTCTTTAGCCTAAAACATACGCGTTTCTTCTTCTTTTCGGGCTCCACGACCACCTCCTCCTGGGGCTTGTAGTCCTCCGGGAAGAACTTGAGGGCCTCATCCTTGCCGACAGTGACATTGGGACTCACATAACTAGGTCCATAGGAGACCAAAGATAACATCATGTTGGACTGCACCTTGTTGACCTTGAGTACAATCTTATCGTTCCTGGGAAAAAAGGAAAAAAGGGTCGTATTATTTCGAAATACAAGTAATCCCTTCTGGAAAACTTACGGCGTTTTGGGACTGGTCTCGTACTTCTCCGTCGAATTGGCTATCAACTCGGCCTCATCCGGCTCGGCGCTGGAGAAGAAGCCATAGAGAGGCACATCATCCTTGTGGCGATCCACCACATGCATGATCTCCTTGCGCTTGGAGGCATCGAAGGCCATGATCACATGTGGTGGCTCCGGTTTGGGATCGGGTGGAAGGAATCCACTCGTCTGGCCGCGGAAGAAGACATAGATGAGGGCGGCATGGGTGCGCCGGTTGTTGGGCACCCAGATGGGTGGCATTTTAACGGTCTTGGTGCGAGTCAGAGGCTTGGGCGGCTCCTCCTCCTTGACCTCCTGAACCTCCTCCTCATCCTCGGCGGCCTCATCGCCGACATCGAATTCCATATCGAAGCCGGGGATGGAGGGGAAACCGCCCATGGCATCGCCGCCGGGAGGTTCGCCTCCGCCGGCTGCCTCCTCCTCGCTGGCCTCCTCCTCGGCGTCCAGATCGGCTGCCTCCTCCTCGGCCAGATGGGCATCTTCGTGGACAATCGATTTGCTCTTGCCCTTGGCCTTGGCCTGATTGAGGAGTCTGGCCTCCTCCTCGGAGCTGACCTCCTCCACCCACACCTCGCCCTCCTTCAGCTCCACCTCGACCTTCAGCTTCATGGTGGCGATAATCGGCGGGATGACATGCTCCTCGGGAATGTCCTCGTTGGGCGGGGCTACCCGCTCCTTGGTCAGCTCATTGGCATAGGCCATCAGGACATTGGGTACGGTGCCGATGCTCTCGTCTATCTTCCAGAAGCACATGAGCAGCTCCTTGCCGTCCAGTTGCTCGATGACGTCCGGCGGCATGGGATTCTTGCACGAAAAGTTTACCACCTCGAACTGATCACTGGTCACCTGGATGACACGGCGATCCTTGCACTGCATCTTCAGCGGTTCGGCGGGTTCGGTGAGTTTCTTGAACATATCACGATTGACTTGTGGTCCAAAGACAGTCACTCCAATGTCCGGCATATTCTCCATTATGGAGTCCGTTACCTGGGTGAGGTAGTCCACCTGTTTCTTGTGCTTGATCTCGCGCTCAATCCGCTCGGCCCGCTCGATGGCCTCCATTTTGATACGCTGCTGCTCCACCTCAATTGGCTGCAGTTCGTCCACTGCGAAGGTCACGGGACGCGGCTGCCGCTGGACCACCTTCTCCAGCTCCCGCGTTAGCAGGGCAATCAATTTGGGCACATCCGAGCCAAAGAGAAGGTTTACAGCCCTGCCTCCCTGAAGGAATAATATAATATAATGGATCTGTAGGTTGGGACCCCTTTCGTTTATTTCTAGTCATTTGGTCAATAGCTTAAAAAATTTTGATTTGGATAAAAACTATGGAAAACGTAAACAAAATGATGTATAATCCAAATATACTTTTATTTAAACAACTTTTATATGATGTTCTCATCTTTATATAATATATATACATCCCGAAATTAGAAAAATATCATCATAACGTATTATAGGAGTTTACCCATTTTTTTATATTTAGTTCGATCTCAACTCACCAGATCAGGATAAAACCAAAACGGAAAAAATAAATGATAAACATTAGGATAAAAATCATATTTTCTGAGGCTTTTCACAATAGCACCAAATATAAGTACACAGAAAATATGAAAGATATCATTATATCTTATGAATCTATCTACCTTCTCCTTTTCATCTTTATAAATTGTTTGATTTAACTCTATTCCCACATAATCATTACGATAAACATGAGATTTTATGGGACTCATAACATTACACGATTACTGCATATAGGCCGATTTTATTAGAAATACTTACGGTCACAAACAGCCAGATGGGCTCGCTCCTTTTATTGAATCGCTTGAGGTATGATATGGTGTCCGATTTGCACTATGTGAGAGGCAGTTAGGGAGCTAGGGGTTAGATCAAAAGGATAAGGACGAAATAACCCACAATGGCCAGATGCAAGTTGTCGCCACCGATCTCGAGTTTGATTTTGCGCAGGCAGCCCACCATTCCAATACAAGGACCGCACCACTCCGAATAGACATCCAAAACTGGTAAATATAGTATATATCTATATAGCCGACTTAATGGGAACCTAAAATCTCGACGCACCCAAAAGTCCTGGTCGTTCCATAAAGCGCTCCAAATCCTCATCCGTCTGGATGTCAGCCTGCAGTTGTTGTTGTGCCGCCTTCTTCGCCATCTAACCAAAATTTTGCTGCCAATTTGGAAGGAATTTTTCGAGTTTATTCTAAACTTTCTATATATTTTCCTTTTTTTTTGGATGCCAAACCGAAACTAAATGTTCCATGAACTATTGATTAAACAAGACGCACTCCCTCACCCCTTTTTTTCGCCACATCCACTTACCCACTTACCAGTTTTTCCTTTTCGCATTGAATAGAGTTTAGTTTTCCATCAATCATAATAAATTAGTCAACCACAATCGTTTAATTGTTCGTAAAATTAACGCTTTTTACAAACACACATTGGCGAGTTCTTACACATTGCATAACAAAAATTGTTCACTCCTCACTACATAGTTAAAATAATTTAAACAACACAAACAAATACGAGTATGAATATGGGGTATATGGAGCAAATACATAGATATAAGGATATCATATCAATCTCTTGGCTCGTGGTCCAAATTACAAATTCAAATTCCTACTCGACAAATCGATTTCAGTACATGGGCAGTGGAGTATAAGTAAGTATACAGATAGATTATGCGGTACATATATGGATAGGCCTAATTTATACGAGGGGGCTACTACAGTACAAGTGCGTGGGGTGACCAAAGTTAAGATTTAGGCGAACTACGAGTAACTCAAAACCTCCCTTAAACAATTAATATGTACAGTTATTAACACAAAACTAAACGTTAAACGTTCGGTAATTAATGCTGCCATCCGGTGCCTCCTTTGGATTTCAATAAGATACGCATAGTATCTATAATATCTATCTCACGGAAATGCCGTTGATGGTGATGACATTACTGGCCACCGGTTCCGGTTCGTAAACCTCGTCGTTGGTGCGCATCTCGTAGGGAGCATCGTAGAACTGCTCGTTTGGTATTTGATCGTAAATGTTTTCTATAAAAAAACATATAAGTTATAAATAAATTTATGATGGATTTTTTGAGATTATCTAACTATATAATTTATCATTAAATCGTTATTTAATACTATTTTAATAATAATATTACATTTTCTGTATGTCAAAAAGGTTAAAAGTATTACCAAAATGATTTTAAAATATCCCTATGATACTATTAATAGTGATACTCGTATTGTATTTTAAACATGTTCTACAAAAATCCGTAGGGCTTTCAAATCACTTTTAAATATGATTTCAGGTGTCTAAAAGTATGGAACAGAAGTTCAATAAATTCATTTTGAAGTATGATTGTTTGTAACTCGTTGCATACTTTTAGACACCTTTATAATCCTATTTAGGTTTTCTACTTATCAAATGGATACAAAATGAGTATTAAATCTCATATCTCTGTTTTCTTTTTTCGGATCTAGCAGGTTATTGAAAAGAGAGTAGGTTCTTGACTTACCCGACCGATTGTTGTTCAGTCTTTCCCCGTTGCTGGTGGCATCTGGATTGCCGCCGGGAACGCTCCGTCCGCCGGCTCCTCCGTGGAACGTGTTGAACGTCGCCGATGGATTGTTGTCCATGTGCATCCGGTTGTTGGCCTCCAGCGTGGAATACGACATCACGGCGGCATTTCGCTCGTCCTTCG